TAGTCAAATAGCCTGATGCAGAGGTATTATTGGCTAAACAATTTCTTCATTTTTTTTTAAATTAATTTTTTTATCAAATAAAAAGTAGCCTATAACTATTCGGGGACCAATAAGAATATGTGTACACATTTTCATGATGATCGGTTAAGTAGTTTTTGCGTGATTGTGTAACAAACATCAGGACTTTCGCATTTATAATATTAGTAGGGATAGTTGAATCTCAGATGTCGCGCTGAAGTGTATTATAAGCAATTCTTTATATAATTAATTTCATTAAAATATAATGGCGAATCTTATTGTAGCCCAGTCATTTGGTAGTTTTGCTTGGAAAATAGTGCGGGATTGTTGAAAATTGGTATTCATATAGATTTCGAGGTGCTCTTTACGAATTTCAACTTTGCGACCTCGTATCTTGTTCGCTCAAGCCACCATCTTGGAAAAATGGTATAAAAAAACAGTTATTTGACCATATCTCCTTTCCGACTCATTTTACGATAAATATATCTATATAATAAATTAAACTAGAGAAAATTTCCTATAATTTATGTAAGTACCTTTTTCTTGTAAAATTAATAGTTTTAGCGTACGGGCGCCGCAAAGTCTACTTCAACATTCGTTTGTGCCAAAAACTCATTTCCACACCACCATGAGGTAGAGTACGTGGCGCGTTTGTTTTTTTATCGTGGTATCCCAAGTAGGCCTAATCCACACGCACTATTCCAAAATTTAATGGATTGTCTTCGCGATAGACCAAGTGTTCTGCGTTAATTGTCTTCAAGATCGATCGAAATATCACAAGTAAAAATTTCTTTCATACTATCCGTGATGGGATTATCGTTTTCAATGCAATCTTGGTTCTTGAGTTCATCGTACGTGTGCTCAAAAACGGTAATCGTTTCTTCCTCTTCATCGCTATCTTGTGATGGAACTTGCGAATTATCACAGGTACCACTGCAATTTGTTCAGATAACGGAACACTTCATTCCAGTCTTTCTGCAGCCGCAGGCTTCCTGACATCCCTTTTTGCATTTGCAAGATATTAGTTTTAACAATGTTTCGGGAGCTGGGGGCTCAAGTGTGGTGACAGCAATTAGCCCATTCTTGTTTCTTTTCCATCCCCATTGTTCTGCATTTAGTTCATTACCATACTACTACTTAACCTGGTGATAAGTTCTGAACGAATGTTGTCGGACTGCGGCTTCAGTTGATGGTAGCGATGCAATATTAAATTTATTTTTGTATGCTGATTTTGTGAAGCTGGCATATCTATAGATATTTGAAGACATATTTTGCATAGTTTTCACATCACTGTAACTGTATAATTTAAGGAGGAAGAATTCGCCAGCTGTAGCAATGATCTCTGTATCAGCCTTTGGGTTTTTGAATACCTTGATAACTTCGTTTAAATCTGGATTTTTGCGGAGTACATTAATACATTTTAATTTTCCTTGATGAAAGAATGCAGATGTTGTATCACAGCCACAAAAAGCATGTAAGAATAATATGTGATCTGCCGCTGTTTGATCGCTCATGCTTTTGGTTGAATAGATTTGTTGCAAAATTTTTCCTTTTTCTGGTTTTAGCAAATATATGTTTCAACACATTGATAGTGAATAAGAAGATCTACTTCTTCGCCGATAACATGCGCGAATTGTGATACTGTGCATTGGCTGCGACCAAATCATAAACACGCTCGAGGCATTCAACAATCGCTTTACCCCAATCATCATTACGTGTGTACGCTATACACAATATTTCGATCACTCAAATGCGTCCGTTTTTATTTCGCTATAAATTCTGCTGTTATTTCAGCAGCGTACAAAAAACAATGATCTTTAAATGAGAATGTTGGGCACGTGGATCGCAGTTGTGATTGAAAAGTCGTGACAACACTTCCTTTTTTAAACGCAATGATTAGTTTCTCATTATTATATCGTTTCCGACATATCTCGTGAACAACTACCGATCTCAATCCCTCTAAAAGTTTACCCTTATTATCCTTTCTTTTAATGCTTGACTTACGAAAGGTCTCCAATCCTTTTTCTTTCACTTCAATCACTTCACTATCTTGCAATGGAGTTTTACAAATAAAACAATTTACGTTATCAACCATGGCATCAAAACTGCAAACAACACGATTATTCAGAACAATAAATACCAAATAATGACTCAATGAAGAAATAATAAAACAAAAGTAAACTCGGCCGGCGAAACAAGCGAGGGGGAGCAGGACCACCCTCAAATCATAGCAAGCAAAAATAGCAGTCATGATGACCTAGAAATTAATTTTTGACAAAAACGAATGTTGAAGTAGACTTTGCGGCGCCCGTACGCTAAAACTATTAATTTTACAAGAAAAAGGTACTTACATAAATTATAGGAAATTTTCTCTAGTTTAATTTATTATATTGATATATTTATCGTAAAATGAGTCGGAAAGGAGATATGGTCAAAAAACTGTTTTTTTACACCATTTTTCCAAGATGGTGGCTCGAGCGAACAAGATACGAGGTCGCAAAGTTGAAATTCGTAAAGAGCACCACGAAATCTATATGAATACCAATTTTCAACAATCCCGCACTATTTTCCAAGCAACCACATTTTTTAGCACCAAATGACTGTACTATTGATAGAATTACATTTTTATTAAACACTACCGAAACGGAGTCGCGGGCAAAAGTTGGTAATGTATAAATATGTAAAGCAATCGAGTGCAATGATTTGTGTTGGAATGTCTTTATGCGTGAGTATTCGAGCAATGCGCGCCAAGTTCCTCTCGGGTCCGGGTTTTCTTAGGACGCCGAGAGAGGACAACACGCGTTCAATGCACAAAAGCGTCTTTGTATCCCCGACGAGCAGTCACGCAAACGTAAACTCGCCTGCATCCTTTCCGAGCGTCGCGGCGCGATTGACGGAAGAACGTGCGACAAGGGTCGACGCGGTGCGTTTCGCCGTTAAGTTAAGGGCGGTACTCACATGGGAAATCAAGTGGCGCACATAAGTGCCCCCCGTGTTGCCTCAGACCTCAGCCGAAACTCACCCGCATATACAGATACACACCCACACACAGGTTTGCATTCCGTTGAATTCCAGCACCTAAGTAAGTAATACACTACTGTGAAGGGGTGAAGTGTGTTGGTGTTGAAGCAGTGCGCCTCTGCTAAATTGGGACGTTAGCTCGGCCTCAAAATGCGTTCATAACGTCGACTAATATTCCATCCGGTGCTTAATTAAGTCGATTCCGCGCCGCGCCGCTGTTCCCCGATCGACGCTTACCGTCGAGTTAAACAAAACACAATTTTCTGATACGACCTCAGCGCGTGTTTTTTCTTGGGCACGTGGCGCTCAATTAGAACTGAATTGTTCTGCAAAGAAAACTAACAACACAAAGGAAAAAGAAAAAAAATAAACGTGTCAAGTTTTTTTTTGCTTTTTTTACTAAAATAGAAATAAGTTTGATTCATGATATTTTATTGTCAAAAATATCTAAAATTGAATATTTTAGCGCGCGTGGAATGAAATTTGCAAAACGTTTTCGTTCGTGAATAAATTACGCAATATTTATTTTGCGATCGTCTCGGGCATCACCTGCATTTCAGTCCCTTGACGCTCGCTACACTCGATCAAACCTCTGCGCGAGCGACACCGAACCCAAATCCAAGCGATTCACTTTTTTCGCTTTTCCTTTGCCAACATACCCACCGTCTACCTGTTTTCGTCTTTTACCTTTTCTAGATTTCATTTGCTTGTACACAGTATCGAAAGGTGGTTGCAGAATCTGCAGACTGAGCTTTTTCTTCGAAATCTAACGCGTCTCATTTACTATGTATGAGAAAAGAATAAAATCGATATTTAATTCGCATATCCGATTGAACATTAAACTTTCCTGCTTACTTCCTGGAAGAAAATTCGGAAAGAAAATCGTTTATTATTAATAATAACTTTTATAATGTGTATTGTGCACAGTTGGTTGCCTATAGTATTTTGCTTGCTAGTTATTAGAAATTTATGATTTCCATAACAGAAAGTATGCAAGTTTTAAACTCGCTTGGCAAAATTCTTTCCGTGAGCACCCAAATTCCTTACTACCCCTCTCTGCGCTACACAACGCCTAACTTTACTTCTTGCGCGTCGCTCGACTCTATTCGATGCTTTTATCGTCATATTCAGAATCCACCTTAAAACTCTTATCGTCTACAAGCAACATTGCGGGTGCTGGCTGCGAGGAAAGCTCTTTGCGGGGACCGGCCATAACTTATTATTAAGGCATCATCGCTGCGTCGTCGCCCCTAAAATATTTTCATTATTGGATTAAGTAAACTCAATATCGATGAAATTTAAAGGGGTCTCCAAGGGTCTCCCCTTTCCGAGAGCTGCGAAAGGAACAAAGGGAATGCAACCAACGAGACAGCTGAGTAAGATTGTAAGGGATTTATTAAACATGTAATATAATCGCGAAATAGTTGCCAAAGATATTGAGATACGAATAGGAATAAGGAAAAGTGTGTGTGAAGGGTGCGTTAATGGTTTTATTCAAGTTGAAAATTTTGGAGGGATGCAAGCTTGCAATATTGTGTCTATTATATCGTTAATTGATTTATTGTGCATCTCGTTTGGATTATTTCTCATGAGTAATTTAATTAGAAGGGTGAGTAAACAAAATAAAATATTTTAAATTAAAAATATTAAATACCTAAATATGAGTAAATTATGCAGTAAAATATTTATGTGATTGTAAAAGCGCAGTATTTCATAAAAACTGCTAAAAAGTAAAAAATAAAAATATTTTGGTTCTTATACATGACGCGCCATCTGCGAGTCAAAACTTAAACTACTCTATGCAAACACTCTATGCAGCTATATTATAGTTGCCTGCATTTCCGCTAAATGAATAGCGATAAAATAAAATTCTTTTTTGGTTAAAAATCTTACCTCTAGTGTTTACTGTTTAAAAAAAGATTAAAAACTAAGTCACTTCAACAACGTTACCATTGTTTAACTCGTCTGCGGCGTGAGTGTAATCTTGTTTTGTTTGTTTTCCTCTACGAAACGTTTACCAAGCAATTAGCGCAGATTAGATAAGATTAGTTGGCGCATTTTGCAAGTGATAATAACATAATTAAAGCTGTACACAAAAAATACACGTGCGTGGTGCAACCGCGCAGATCAATAAAATCACCATGGCGGCACACAATGCTCCATTCCACACGGCGCACGCCACCGCCGCCGACCGGAACGTAGTTATCACTCTGCAATGTAGCATCGTCAAGTTTCAGTCTCAGCCTAACATAGAAATATTATTTAACACTCGTCTTCTTAAATATCAACTGTGAAACGTGAATTCAAGAAAAAAGAAAAGGAATAATTTATGGAGTTGAAGGGAATCCATAGTGACTCATACCATTGATTGTTGTCATCTGTAAAGTAAACAACAACAACAAAAACAAATCTGATTAATCCCATAAACGGAAAGTGCAACGCTAGTCATTTGTGTGTTTAGATAAATTAATTAAATACGTAATTATTTAATTGTTAAGTAGTATAAAATTATCGAAATGAATAAATTTGAGTCGACACCAAGTTTGGGGTACTCGTACCATCTGCCCACAGCTGGTTTGGCCCTGAAGATTCGTAATAGTCTGGCACAGTTCAGCGAATTGTTTAGTGAATTTAACAAATACATCGCGCCGGCCTATCACCATGACCGATGCGAAAGGTTTGCCCGTTTTTATTGATTTTGATGTTTTGAATGCGTTTGTGTGTTTACTAATGCCGGGGGATCTCTGTGTTTTTATAGGTCAGTGCAAATGCGTTTGTATTCCATGCACAAACGTGAATTTGTGATGGTGTTTGTGGCGTTCTTTGCGCTGTTTGGATTGGCGTTGTTTATTGGACTTGCGGGTAAGAAAAAATTCTAATTGGATAGTCAAGTGTCAACTATGTGTCAAAATATTTAATAAAATTGAAGTAGAATAGTCGTGATGGCTTAAAAATAGGAAATATGAGTAAAAACTTGTTTTAAAATTACTAAAAATGCCTTTATGTGACTAAAATCAGTAAAATAAAATAAACTTATCATAAAATTTTCAAAAAAGGTTCAAGAAAATAGTATCGAACAGTTTTAGTCATTTTGACAATAATAATAATATTACTACCGTAACTATTTTTTTATTACTTGGTAAAATATAGATAAATAATACATAAAAATATAAAATAGTACCGAAATTAAGTATCAAGTGGCTAAACAAAAATTTTAACGAGCGTAGCGAGTGTTTAATCATTTCAGTGTTTAACAACGTTTAGCCACGTGATGCTTACGTTATTTTTTACTTCCACTCTATTTTCACGTTGAAGTGGAAATGCGCAAGCGTATGCTCCACCCCGTGACTAAAGCCCGTGACTCAAGTACTTTAGCCACGTCCGTTTTTAAATTACCACTTTTCGTGTCTCAAAACCGTAAAAAAAATGGCGATTTAAAAGTGGAAGTAGAAATAATTATTGAAATATTTAAAACTCTATTTTTTGCACTTTTAAATAAAATATTTTAATTTTTAACTTGAAACATCTTTAAACTGTGTGATTTTTCTGCTTAAGGTCCTCCAATCACACTGAAAACTGCCATCAATGGCAGAAATCTCCTGCAGAACAAACAAAATCATTCAGTAAACGCTAACGACATTGCCACTGGACCATTCACGATGCGAACACCATTATTAAATACTTATTGTCAACAATTATGGTTGATAGCGAAAATGAGCACAAACAATGCGGATGGTAACTTTATACAAATTTGTGCAATTCAGGCAAATCGTAATAAAAATAATTAATCATTTTCAGATGAAACTTTTGATCATACTTTTAAAATAAACGTAAACATCGAAGGACTCACCGAAGAACACAAACCCGTTCAAATATTACACAGCAGAAATTCGAAAAATCGGTAAGTATTGAAACAACATAAAAAAAAATAATAAAAAATAACAAATTTTAATTTTGATTGTTATAGGACACGGCATTTAAGGTGTCGCTTACAGGAATGTGACGAATTCATTGTCCTCCACTTAGGCTTCCTCGATTACCAGCATTATATCATCACGCTGAACTTCTACGAGTTAAAGTCGTTTCATCAGCGTTATGAGATTAAGGATCTAACGTTCTTTGTAAGTTTAATTAATTACACTAATGAGTGAGTGTAATTACATAGTGTTGTAATTTGTAATTGGGTAACACGTCGGCGGGGATAATTAAATTGCAACTGCAATTTACTATCAGTTAATTAAATTATTTGTTGCAGTTTATCACTTACAATCCGGGATTCACACAAATTGAGATCTGGTTTAGATTTATCTTCTTGCTAGCAACATTTATAATAACCGTAAGTAATATTTACATAATTTATTAATTTTTTTATATTTTCACTTTTAAAACGCCATTTTTCCACGGTTTTGAGGCACAAAAAGTGATATTTAATACACGGATGACTAAAGCCGTGACTAAAGTACCTTATTCACGGGTTTTAGCCACTGGGTGACATAAATGTTAATATTTACTATTTTAACCTCACTTTCTTAATTTCTCTTTAGTGTTGGTTCGCTCACACGTTAAAACGTTACGCGATTTCCGATTGGTCCATTGAGCAGAAATGGATGTCCCTATTATTGCCAATGCTGCTCTTTTACAACAGTAAGTAACGCGCAATTAAACCGAACACACCATTAACAATGACATATAATCTTTCTCCATTTTCAGACCCCATTTTTCCGCTGATGTTCTTAGTGAACTCGTGGCTACCAGGAATGTACGACGCAATGGCTCAGGCCACATTTCTCGCCGCATTGCTATTATTCTGGCTGTGCGTTTATCACGGCCTTAGACAAGTAAGCCACCAATATAACCTTCGAAAAAATCAAAATCATGCAATATAATGATTTTACGACGTTGTTTGTATAGAATGAACGGCGTTTTATGGTCTTTTATCTGCCGAAACTAATCGTTGTTGGAATGTTGTGGTTTGCCGCCATTATTCTCGGCACATGGGAGCGGTACAACGAAATGCAGGATCCTACCTATAGTCATATTGTTGACACAAACAACTATTACGTAAGAATCTCACATTCACATTTACATATAAAACACTTTTTGAAAGTATGAAAATATGAAAGTTTTACACTGTGAATTATTACAGCGGTTGAAAGTGTTCTTCTTCGTGTCAGGCGGTATTTACATAACCTATCTTTTACTCCTCTTGCTGAGGGCGTATACAGAACTACGATCGATGCCGTTCTTTGGTGAGTTGTGCACATGTCATTTATCATTCTATGCGGACATTTTCTGCACCTGCAACATAGTTATTAATCTCAGATGTAATGTGGGTTGCAGATATGCGGTTGAAATTCCTTACGTTGCTGATGCTCGTCGTGCTGTTCATCAGTCTGATCATCACTGCGCTGCGATTTGGATTCGGTGTACTTGAAGATAATTTCGTTGCGCAATTATCAACGCACTACAATAGTAGCGCACAGTTTATGTCATTCTACGGATTACTAAACTTTTATGTCTATGCCATGGCGTATGTGTATGCACCGGGTAATAAATCACTACAAGGTAAGTCTATAACTGTCAAATGTCAAAGAATGGTTTATGAATTGACCGCTAGGCGGCGCTACATAATCTTATGTCAAACATTTTCAGAGAATTTTATTATGATTTACTTGAAAGAAAACAGAATATTTTTTATGTTATTATTAACTCATCACTTTTGAGATAATCATTTATAAAAAAAATGTTTATAATCTCAACATGCACCTGAAATTGTTTGTATACATTATAGACTCTGGCATAACCAAAGATAATCCAGCCTTCTCGATGATAAACGACAGCGACGAGGACGTGATTTATGGTTCGGACGAAGAGAGCCGACGGCCGCTGACGCGCCCACATCAGGACGACGATAGTGATTGAAATATAATGATATTCAAATGTTTTACATGATCATATATATATGAAACGTGTTTAAATAATACCTTAATACCTGTTCAATTGCCATCCTAATGAGATTGGAGCATTTATTATATTAATAAATCACTCCCGCAATGTTCATATCGATTTTCTATTTGCGTCTTTGCATCTCCCACTCCTCGCAGCAATTGTGACCAAGCGCACATCGCTGGAAACCAAGGAGAAGCAACGCGAAGCGAGAGGCGTACTGTCGGCATGGACGCGGCAATCTGAAAACGTTTTAAGGGGCGCGTGCCACGACCGATTGTTATCGCAAGTCACAGCCGCGGCCTGGTTGTGCATCAACGTGTAAATGTTAACGTTTTGGGTGGGGATGGGTTGACTTTCAGAGAGATGGAAAGCAACAGTCGGCGACGCTCAAGTGGAAAATATCAAAATCGACCTGTTGCTGCCCTCGTTTCATATGGCCTATTCAAATGTGAATGTTGTGCTCCAAGGAGCCATTCCACGCTTCATAAATATCAGAAAATGTCATAAAAGTTGTAAAATCGGGTTTAAAAGGTCAGATTTTAGTGTAAAATTAAAATTTATGATTAATTCGATTTAATTTTTATTTTTATATTTTACTTAATCTACGGTATGTTGAAATTGAAACTTGTTGGGTATACGTAATATGCCTCGGGGAAAGAATAAGTAAACATGAGGAAATGAGTTTTTTCAACGCACAAAGACGCAGAATGCGAAACAATAACGTCACAGAAAGGAAGTCTACACGGATCTTGCCAAGGAAATAGGAAATAGGATATTGTACCGCATACTTTTTAACATATTCTTTTTGGCATCATGTTCTTTTTGTGCAGAAACTGACCCTATTTAATAAAATCACATTTTCTTCCATATTTATGTTAGAAAAAGATTTAAAAAAATCAACAAAATAGTTTTGATAGAAATTTATCATAACCTAAATGTCAACTGTCAAAAATATGCAACACACAAAGCAATGTTGGAATTTATGGTAATTTTTTTATTGAAAGTTAATTTTATTATATTTATTTTTTATTTATAGGCCAAGGAAATAGGAAATAAGATATTTTTAAATTCAGCGAATAATTTTTAACATATTCTTCTTTGAATCAAGTTCTTTTCATCAAGAAACTGATCCAATTTAATAAAAACACATTTTCTTCAATATTTATGTAAGAAAAAATACAAAAAATTTGAGAAAATGATAATGACGAGAATATATCATAACCTAAACTTTCAACTGTCCGAAATATGCAACACACAAAGCAATGTTGGAATTTATGGTAATTTTTTTATTGAAAGTTGATTTTATTATATTTATTTTTTATTTAAAAGCCAGAGAAACAGGAAATAAGATATGTATAAATGCAGCGCACACTTTTAACATTTTCCTCTTTGAATCATGTTTTTTTCATAAAGAAACTGATCCTATTTAATAAAAACACATTTTTTTCCATATTTATACAAGAAAAAATTACAAAAAAATTAAAAATTTATTATGACAGGAATTTATTATAACCTAAACTTGCGACTATTAAAAATAGGCAACACACAAAGCAAACATTGATTTATTTGAAAATTTTTGTTAAAAATTAATTTTTCTTGGATTTATGATTTTTATTTAGGGGAGAGGGGGGCAAAGTGGGCCCCATAAGCGAAAAAAGGGGATTTGTTTACCTTTTTTCACTCGTTACCCTATTTTTTACATCCTTGTTCAGTATTCAATATTAATAAGCCGTGTCTATCAAAATAAAAAAAAATTAAGAATATGGGGCAAGTGGGCCCCCGCCCATAAAAATTTTGCTATTACCTTTGTATCCATTTTTTTGCTTATATATTTTTTTTTTCATTTCTTACTTCGAATTTGTTGATGTGAGTTATTTTCCCCTCTTATTTATCAAAAATTTTAGGGGGCCCACTTTGCCTCTCAATTTTTTAAGCCAACTGAATTTCAGGGGCCCACTTTGCCCCCAGGGGCCAACTTTGCCCCCCCTTCCCCTACTTACCTGATTGCACACAATGCATCCCCTGCACTTGACACCCTGGATAAAATATAAAATATGAAATGGTGGAGGCCTCGAGGTCTATCAGTTTTTCAAATGTGGGTCGACGCATTGTTTCGCTGTCCTCTCACAATCTCGACCACAACCAACACAATCACAACATTCACGTCGAGATTTTAATGCTGAATTCGTGTTTGCACACTGTGACACACACAACTTCCCAGCCTCTCAACTGCAGTATTATATTCGTACATCCAATGATTTGTGGACTCGGTAGCTATGCGCCGCACGTACACCGAACTAATACGATAAAAAATGACCGCTGCACACTGAAAACGCAAGTTTTGCACGTTTTCTGCGCGGCGAATGTTCGAAAACACACCGAGTGGGCTGTAAAGTGTTTAAAATTCATGCAACGCGCCGGCAATGTGGCAATCTGCAAACAAAATGAAAATATGAATTAGTGAGAACGTATTATGCGCATCGCAGCATGCCCGCATCGTGCCTGCTTACAAAGCGTCAGGATTACCGAGTTACGTCGAAGAAAAGACACAGAACAAACGAAACATTAAAGTGCATGCATAAACGCAATTTACGGCCGCGTGGAACACTCGGAAAACAAATAAATTACAGGTGGGAAAACAACGCAGCGAAAATAATTGAAAAATATGTTACCTTAGAGATACACTACTCCGCTGTGTTAACTATGTTAACCTATAAAGTAAAAAACAACTTTTCCTTTGTTTCAATCAATTTCTCCACACATAACCTCAAAATAAAGCTATTTATGAATAATTTCATGTTAACATGATTTTTATTATTAAACGTACATAGATAAATGCGTTAACAATTATAAATCTCTAAATAATAATAATTTACGTCTGTAACAACGATTTATTCATTTACATTACGCTTTGATGCCTTACTGATAGACATTTTATCCGTTTACAATTTAATTATGCGTATTAATATCATAATGATCTTCAATTTTCTTGTTCAAATATCAATTGATTGTGTTTTGTAAATCCGTAAATCTACAAAAATTTCGTGGTTTTTTGTTTAGTCAAGTTTTAAACTCCGTTTCTGGATAATTGATTCCTGTTTGATTGTCAGGTTTACCAAGGGACATTTAAACATTTATAAACTGCAATCGTGGCAGCTTCTCACCGTTTACTTATCTCTTTATTTATATGTGAGTGTTTGGTTTTGTATTATGTGTGTTTGTGTAAGTATTTTATTTCCATTTAGCAGTTGAGAGTGAGAGTGAGTAAATGTAACGAATTAACAATAATATTATTGATAGGTTTATATATCAACTATATGTGAACATCGATTTTGTTTACTTTGTTTACCAATTTGACTCTGTGATATATTTGACGTGTACATGCACTACCAATATTGGGATATGTTCTGATTTCTTATTTTTTGTATTTAAAAATAATGTGTGTGCGGATACCAACAGGTTATTGATTTAATGATGTTTAAGTTGCCTATGTACGCAGCCGTCATGTGGGTTGCGTTATTATTGCATGAAATATTTGCTTGTTTTAGAATGTTTTACTTTTTGCTTGTTTATTGCCAGTTTTCGTTATTATTTTATTGTTTCTTTATCATTTGCTTTTTGGTCAGACTAGAACAACAAGTTAACTCTATTGATTTGTTTTTTTATTACCCTGTATTATATTTTTACCTCTGATTGTAGATTTCATCAGTCTTTTATTACTTTTTTAAACAAAACTTTACTGAATAACACACATATTGATTTAAAACATTTAACAATCTTGTTGTTTTTTCAAAATGTAAGAAAAATAATCCCAACGGTTTATTTTCCCAAACGCAAACACGAAGCGAACCTGCTGATATCCACATGCACACCATTTTCAGTCCAGCAATCAGTAATAGAATTTCATGAGTTTGACCTTTTCGCATGCACAGTTTGCGATTAAAGGTGCGATAAAATTGATTTTACAAACATGTTCCTTTACGCCAAAGCGAAAAAAGCTCGAAATTCACTGAAGGACAGATTTGAATGCGTCATTTATAATGTGTATGTATGTTTTGATTCATTTTAAGACAGTGAAAAACAGAGCAAAACATCGTGTTTTCTGGACAATTGGAGGGTTCGTCAGGTATCACATTCAATAATCACGACTATACACAATCATTATGCAGCTAAATTCTGAGATAGACAACCAAATTAGCTCGGAATTGCCTGAATTCACTCCGCTAGAGTTACAATATAAAACAAGTGATACACACGCGTCCGATACGTTTAACAATAGTGTTGCAATAATTTGTATTGTGGAGTAGTGTGTAGTAATCGTAAACCAGCGTGTAACACATGTACATTGGAAACAATACGCTGCGAGACGCAACCAATTTTGAGCTTTTGAGGTTATGTACTCGTATACAGCTTTTATAAGTATATTTAGACCGATTTGTTTTAGATTGGTTGCATCTCGACAATATTTTCTTACGTACTCGTCGTGGTTGTTCATATTTATTTGCGCGATTGACGAATGTGTGGAATTCAAGGCGTCGAACTCATGTCAGCAATGGTAAACGTTGTGTTCCCGTGCAGCGAATGCCTCAATGCCTCGTTTTCTTTTCGTACTGGAAAATCAAAACCAAACCACAATAATAGACCATCCGTCATCATCAGTCAGAGTTAAAATAAAGCGCACAAATCACGTTTTTGCGGGTTATGTGTGTGTGTGTGGCTGCATACATCAAGGGGCAAACGTGTATATCGTCTTGGTTTGGTTATCGCCCACTTGAATCTCGCTGCGATGCGTCAACGTCACCAAAACCGCAGTGACGCTGAGAAACACCAAGAAAAGAAATGTCGCCGTGATGATAAACACGACTATTTGACGATGTTTACCACTCAGGGAGGAAACATCATCAAGTCTTGCGAGACTCCTTTGACTAGCAATGCTATTACTGCGTGTTTGTAACCCCGCCATTGTTGGATGCAACATTAACTCATTGATGTACACCGAGGAGGACCTCGAGTGACGTGTTGGACTTGGTGGGACAAGACCAGGGTAAGAGTTGTGCAGACTCATGGAAATCGACGCGCTGGATTGTTTCCGGCTGCGATTGGGCGTCGGCGAGGACGCCGCTGAATTACTGATGCTGATCGATGGTCGACGCAGTGAGTTGGTCCTGGAGTGACCCCACTCGCATCTATCACAGCGTGTGTGTGAATGTTTGCGTGAGTGGCGTGGTGAACCACCCAGAGGCGACGGCGATGGTGTTAAACCATAAGGGTATGGATTGTTGGCGTGATCGTTGACGAACACCGAATTGCTACGCACTTGTCTTCGCGAACGTTGATGCTGCGCTTGATTTAAACTCCCCGCACGTTTTACATGACCCAAGTTGACTGAGTGTCGCGTATGTGTATGTCGATGCACGCGCGGTGTCTTTACCTCCATTTTACTCACAAAAAATTGATTTTTTTAGTTTTGAGATTAGCAAAATTGCGATGGAGACTGGGCTGAGCTAAGGTCGTTACTGGAATCGACGCGATACACTTTCAGTTTTGAGAGCGAACGCTTACGTTGAAAAATGTAAACATTCGGAGGCGGCATCCTCGTTGCTCCTTCCGTCCGCGCGACTTACATAAATAGACGCCAACTGCGATCAAACTAAACTTATAAACTTCTAAACTAAAACGGGCGCGTGCTTCGCACACCGAGCGCGCGTCGGACGTAATTTGAAAAATTTATACGCGAATCATTAAAACAAACAGAGCGTTAATCAATGTGCCAAAAGTCTGTAAAACAACATCGACTTAGCTAGGCATGGAGAAGACATCTGTTTACCCGAGCGTCATCTTCGCAACGCGCCAGAAATTATGATGCTGTTATTGCAATATTTTTTATATATTTCGAAAATTGAAAACACGCCAAACACGCGTCGTTCAAAATGTCAGTTAGGCAACTCACTATACACACACAACACACGCATGTGAGACATGTGCTTTTGTATTCTTTTGTGTCGGTGTAAAGTGAGTTAGTTGGTGCGAGATGAAGTAATCCGATTTGTGCTGTTCTTCTTTTCTCCACCGCTGCCGCCGCCGCCGCCACTCGAGCGTCGTGTACGAGTGGTTCTCTTCCACTTGTCTCACCTTCTCATATAGCCTACAAAGACTACGACCACAGGCAGTGTCGCGCAAACAATTCGATTGTACTTCTTGGGATTTCGCATTTCCCATTTCCCACCGGCACCGGCAACTCAAATCTTTAAACCGCCCCCAAAGTTTTAAATCGATGTGATACACTTAAGCGGCTCACATTTATAATAAAATTCACACTTAACTGTTTATTGATTTTTTTTTAAGATGCTGGTGAAATTAAGAATTTCAAAATGAAAGACTTACCCATGTCATCGATGAGCGGCGCCATTCGCAGCGTGACGCCAACCAACATCAAACACATGAAGAGCAGTAATCCGGCGGTGGCGATGATTGTCCACCGTGCTTTCGGTGGTAACTCATCGGGGTCAATAGCGCGCACTTCTTCCACAATGGCGACCGCCGCCATGGCGCGTAATTTACGTCGCTTTCGTCGGCGTTTCCTTCGTTTTCTGCGACGTCGACGCGCTTCGTACTCGTCTTCTTCGTCGTAGATGATATCGTCGCAATCGTCGATTTTCAACGAGACGTAATCATCATCACAACTAACTGGAATACGACTTTTAAGAAGAAAAAAGAAAAAAAAAATTATATTAAAAATTTTTTTTATTATTTTTTATGTTTTTTTACTTACAGATCTGTTTGCGAGTGATCCGCACAACAGCAACTTCCGCCGGCGGCAGGATCGTATTGAAGGTAAACGTCGTCGACATCAGCGAGCGTCGAATGCGTGACTGCGGCGGTGGGCAGCGGAATAGGCGGTCGCTGCCTCTCCGGCGTTCGCAATTGTGATATTCTACCACCTCCTGTAAATATGGAGCAGAAAAAAACAACTCATATTGCATTGCTACTCAACAAATTTTTGTTTTTTACTATTTTTTTATTTGCTCTCTAACCTTTGTGGGCCTTTTGATGTCGTCGACGTTTCCTCTTGGAGTATCTTGTGCTCTCATCGCGTTCCCGGTCGCGATCCGCAATGGAAGTAGAAAGAGAAGCAATTCGCAGTCGTTTGGCGAGCGTCTTCGGACTGGCTGACGATACGGCCCTGATGAACTTCCGGCCAGACGCTGAATGTTTCATCGCGTCTACCTTCTGCTCGACGAGTGAATTGAGCACCGCCTCCAAGCGCGCCACCTCCGCACGTGTGTCGTACACCGCGGCCGGGAGGTCGTCGGTGGCCACCGACTTGTCGGCGACGTCCATGTCATGGACTAGCAGGGATTCATCATGACCTCTACAAAACGACTGCACAATATGCGCATCGTTAAAATACAAAAACAATAAACATGTATTCGGAAAATCAGCGTGCAGTCTGCAGAAATGATGAAAATACAACATCGTAAGCCTGAAAATAATGAATATACATCGCGGGATGTTTTACGATCGCATCATTCCAGTATTTCGGATGAAGGAAAATAAACTTTTATTGCGCTGCAAGCGTAGCTTTGCGGGCCGGTTATGAAGCCGCCTTTTGTCGCAAAACGAGCAAATCGTAAATTCGGATTCGCAAGTCCGGAATTTCAGAGCGAAGCCAAACAAACCGCGATTCGCAGCAAATGCCGCACCAGAAATGTTGAAAATAAAAAAACTTTTCTTTTCCCAGCGAAAGAGCTCGAGGGATAACCCATCTAACTCGGCTACTCGGTAGTTCTAACTTCGTCAATTTCAACAAATACTCGCAATGCGAGAAAATCCATAGATATAAGCAACTAAGCAGAAAAAAACTCGAAAACGTTTTTCGCAGAAAATTTTTAACTTTTCAGGTATGTTTAGAAGTTTCTACAAAAATTCTACAAAAATTAATTTACGGCTTTTAATTTGTGATTAATTTGAGAAGAGTAGTGAGTTAGTTTGCGTTTACTTTATCAACTCTGAATAGTGTTTGACTTCAGTCGGTTAACTCTGAAATTCTTGGAATTTACAGAGTGAACGATCAAAGGAAAAGATTAAACTTGACAAGATTAACAGTCGCATGTTGGCAAACGACATAAAATTATATTTTAAAAACTCAAAATGCTTTTATAAATCTATAAAGCGTTTCATTATAATTTCAAATTTATAAAGATTTTTGAAAGCAATAAAATCACATAATATCAAAATGTGAATAAAAGAGAACGGATAACAATAAGATGAAGTATTTTGACTGTTTGTGATGGCAGTCAGCGATTAATTAATCGTCCAATTATAATTTGCCGCGCCGGGAATTACAGACTCCCGTATTTAATTGAGGCGTCCCGCTGTGGTGCGCGTCACGCTTGAATAGTTTGCTTGAATTGAGTCGGTAATGCGATGAGAGTCAACGCCAAAAATTAAAAAGCGCAGAAAACAAATTTGGAGAGCAATCACAGAAAAGCAAAAAAAATTGAAAAAATTATTCACGTGTTTAAATAGTATATAAGGGAATGAGAACACATTTGTATTGCGTGATTCTAATTGCATTTTAGTAATTTACATTCTTCGACTCGTGTTCGGTATATTGAGTGATTATAATTATAATTTATAAATTAATGAGATGCATGGTTGGGCGCAGGGTGTGAGGAGCTGGTCTATTTCTAGGTGATGCAATTACGCCACCGATAAACTGATGAATTATAAATCAAGGGTACATGAAACCTATTAGCATACGTGTTCATAAATACAAAATTACAACAATAAATAATAGGAGCTTTTATCTGATACTGATTCAAAAATGTCGAATATAATGTAGGCAATTTGTATGACATTTTAAACAGTTTTAAACTAGCGGCATTTATTTTGATTGGCGCAAAGTTAAAAAAATTAGTAATTTAAATTACGACTTCGTCCTGGTAGTGTTTAATTAAAATGTAATTCATTTTTACTCTCTTGTTATAGACATAGTATATATATTAGGGTGTCCGTTATTTCCCAAAATGGATTTTATTTTTCAGACGCCCCCCAAACTATTAGATTTTGACCTAAAAAAAATATGAGAGCCATTTCAGCCCTTAAAATTGATATTAAACCGTGCCTAAATCATAATCCTTTTCTCATTTAAATAACATGGGATTTCCTGACGTTTTGCATTTAATTTTTTATTTCCAAAGTAAATAAACCTACAGCTTCGACAGAGACATATTCTAATGCAAAATTTTACCCTCTACAAAAAAGATCTCTTTGGTTTTTTGCTTAAAAACATTCCTGTAAAAGTTATTTGCGATTAAAGTTATACACATAGTTTATAATCTCATTTACAGCAAATTCTAACTGCGCCACCTATAATCAATTGATCGAAACTAGAGTTTAAGTTACAATAATCGCGTATCGACAACGCGACTTAATCTTTGAATAACTTTTACAGGGTTGATTTTATCGAAAAAAGTATTCAGACCTTTTATGTAGAGCATAAAATTTCCAACAAAATATGTTCCAACGGTATTTTTAGCTATATTTGTTCCGATAAAAAAAAAATAACTGTAAAAAGTGCAAAAATCCCATGTTATTTAAATGGGAAAAGGATTATGATTTAGGCACGGTTTAATATCAATTTTAAGGGCTGAAATGGGTCTCATATTTTTTTTTAGGTCAAAATCTAAAAGTTTGGGGGGCGTCTGAAAAATAAAATCCATTTTGGGAAATAACGGACACCCTAATATATATATTCTATCAATAAGATTCGCAATTTTATTTTAAAGAAATTAATTATATAAGAATTGCTAATAATGGACTTCAGTGCGCCATCTCGGATTCAACTATTTAACTATAACTATGATTGAATTTCAATGCTAACTTTTATCCTATAGAAAAGGGCTGTCTTTAGGGTTTTCCCGGCAATTATTCGAATTTTTCTTGTCGTAAAAACCATCCTTGGGCTTTACCGAACATTTAAAAAAAAGAATTGGCCAAATTGGTTTAAGCGTTGTTGAGTTATGCGCTTACTAACAGATTTTGCGATTCATATTTAAATTATAGATATTGCAAAAATTTGTTATTGTCTTGTGATTTGCGAATAATTTAAGTTTAATTGTTTAATAACAACTCAATTCAATGCAAATAACAATTCGGTTCGTCTGCACCGCTTCAACACTTAACTCTATATTCATGATCATAGTCCCTCGTCGAATTACGAATTACCATTTTAGCGCTACCCATTCAGGGCTACCCATTGCGGCATAATGCAAATGATTACTCAAAATTCACAATGATACCACCGAAGTCGAATATCCACACAATTGAAACTGAAGCGGTCTAATGCGCTAAGTGAGATAAATAACACACGTTAAATCATTAAATAGATTTATACAGTTGATTACACAATATTTTATATTGCATGCGGATATGTTTAATTGGGGCGTAAATTATTTCGCTCGGTTTCGATGTTTCAAATTGGAAATATAAAATACGTACTCGTGCATAGGTGGATAAAACTTTCAATTTCATGTGTGATTATTTGGATTACGTGATTTTACTGGTAAATAATATTAATTGATGTTTTTATATTTAGAGATTTTCATGTTTTATTATTTTTTTTCTATTTTCATCTAAACAGCCTCAGTTTTCTATGGTTTTGAGACCCAAAAAGTGAAAACATGGACAAGCAAGGCCATGACTAAAATACTTTAGTTACAGGCTTTAGTCACGGGGTGATGCTTGCGCCTGCGCATTTGCTAAAACTCCCGTTTAGTCACGATATGCGATAAAGTGGCGTTAAAAACAAAACATTTTAAGTAAAAAAACACGTGCAGAATTGCAACTTGCAATATAATAGATTTAACTTTTTTTCCTTTGACGCAATATTAAAGTTTGTGATTGTAGATTATGCATTGAAACTAAAAATAAAAATCGAGCGAAAAATGTATTACATTCGAACCAAATTACACGCTATAATAGGAAATATATGGTGCTTTCTTTTCTTACTAAGTAAAATTCTATTACACGCGGTCAAAAAGGTAAAAAATATTCCAAATTTAAATGATATTTTGTTTTATGAGCAAGAAAATATCATGTGTACAATAAACGGAGATTTTAGTAGCGCTTGAGAGTATTTTTCATGTTTTGCGTACAATGAACTATAAAAATACATTTTTAAAATACAAATGTTTACGCTTTACTAGTTTATAAAGTAATGGAGCAGTTTACTTAAAAGTTATGATACAAAACCAATTAATTACTTAATTAATGATGAAAGCATTTTTATATGGCAATACCTGGTAAAAATTGTATGCTTGGCAAATACAGTTCCTATTAAAATTTTTAATACAAAAATTAATTAATAGTCAAACATAGTTTGAAATGCTTTGAATTCTATTTCTTTTTATTCATTTATTCTATAGAATTTAATTTAGTTTTTCTGCATATATGCACACAAAGAGATTTATTCCCTTTATTAAGGCTAAAATGCAAATGTAAAAATGCAAATTCTCTCCATTGCGCCATACTTTTAGTTGTTTCAGACATTCGCAACCAAAAGTGCGAAAGTTTCCCACGCGCGCGGCACACAAAAACCGATTTTAATTAATCCTCTGCAACAACACTGTTCATTTGAAGCGTCACATTCACGCTTGTTTCAAGCGCTGAAACATGGGAATGGTGGCGGCGCCAGTCGCCGTTTGCAGTTTCACGACCAAATTTGATTGTTTCCCGTCTGCCATGCCACTACAATCTATATTTGCGCATATGTATGTGTTAAAATACACAAACATTTCAACAACAAAAAATGCATCTTAATTAATCTCCAATCCAGAGGGTAAAATTTTAATTAAACCCGAAACCCACCAAGAAGCCACACAAAAAACGCAAGCCAGGATTGCTATATAAGCGTGAAAAACAAAAAATATCAGAGATAAATGAGCGCTAAAGCTCGTCTGGTGATAGAGTAAATTCGATTAAATAAATGGCATAATAAATAAAAAGGATTTTCCGGCGGGGTCGCACGAAAAAATGTTAAATCCTCCACATATTGTTCTCATATTTTCCAAAAGACTTACTTCGACCCAGACAGAAAGAAAAACGCGCTAAATGATGGATGTTAATGTAAAAAAAGTCTAAAACAAAAAGTTAGCACAGTTAATCGTTAAATAAATGATAGTAGAGCATAGAATTGAAGTGCTTTGACACTGCCAGACGTTGTAAATTAAGCAAAAACACTTTGCACACTTTTAGTGCTTCGAGTGTGGCGGGAAAGTAATAAAGAAAGTATGTGCATGTACCAACGCTAAGGCTACGTATCGCAAAGATAAAATATTAAATATTAGCGTATTGATTTTACACCTGCCCCTTTTGTGCGTTTCATCTTGCTTTGCAACATCCAGGAAATTTACAAATTTGAGCGTATTACTATTCAAATTGAATTTGTATTCGCATCAATTTCACATCAATATAAATTAAATTAATAAATTTTCAATTGCAAATTCTGAAAAAATAGATAAATATTAAATTTATCTGTTTAATTGTTTAATGAAATGAATGTTTAGAGTTAAACTTTTTTGTTTTTCGAGTAATCTAATTGTTTGTTGTTGTACGTTTGAGAAAACTGGATAATTGTGTGATTTTTGTTTTTACTGTGCTAATTAAGAGCGGCCGTCTGGCGCACATAAAACTGACCTGCTTGAGAGAATTGATGAACGACGTGCGAGCCGTGGTGCGCGCGCGAACTTTTCGGACGGGGGCGGCGAAAGACGCGTTCCGTTGACCGCGTTTCGATAACAGCGGCGGCGGCGGCGACGGCCGCATGTACGGTGCGCACGGCAGAAGCGGCAAACAGCGTGTCGGCGGGCCGGCCCGTGCACCACTGGTTAACAGGTCTGCGCGTCGCCGCTCGCTCAGTCGCTCGTCGAGCGGACGGGGGCGGTCGTGACGTCGGCCGGGCCCGCACGCGCACACCGCGTAACGTGTACCAGCCACGTACAAAGGTTTTGCAATACAGGGAGGCGGCGGGTACGCTGGCTGGGTCGATCTGCGCCGACACGTGTCGCGCACAACTTGTGTAATAACTCATCCCTCATCGCATTTCTCGACATCTTTGGCAGTGCGGGCACGTATCCACACAACCCTGCGGTGGTGAAACATGCTCATCTCGTTTGTTCGACTTGTTTGCACATCTTGTGAGCAAGGCACCCAAAATCCTCACTCCAATGATACTAATTTCTGCTTGTTTAGCAACATTCACCTCTCCACCACACATGGAAAAACTTATAAAATCTATATTTGAACAAAAATTTAATAAATTAATGTAAATATAAACAATAAAAACATAGTTAACTCAATAACATCCAACATGGCGCAGTTTCAAGGAATCCAATTTCTATCCCGCTCGGTAGGGAGGTAAGGAATGTGGAAATCCTCATAGTCGTCCATCTCTAGCAGCGGGAGTTCAGGATGAGTCTCAATCACACGCTTAGCACTCGGACGCAATTCGCTATAAACAAGAATCCAATAAAAATTACTTCACTTTATTACGCGACATTTTCCACATTTTGTCACGTCGGAAGCCGACTACAACTTCCCTCAAAGCAGTAAAAATATAGATTCCGTGAGTGTCCTTAACTATTACACGTGTGTTTACATATTTTGCTCAAAACAACAACGAAATAAATACAGTTAACAATATTTAAAGTTAAATCACTAAAATTTAAAACAAAAAATCACAAAAAACACTTTTGAATCATTGGTATTGGTATCGGTAATAACCTAAAAGTGTTTTGTTTTGACCAAAGCTGTAAAATCACATCATCACTTGACTATTAATTTAAACAATAATTAATTAAATTTAAAATACTGTAAACATGACTATGACGCCTAAGATAGGCAACACTGTTAAGTCACTAGCGTTGCGCGCACTTTGAATGCTAACCTCAAAATGTTACAATAGTAGTATAGCTGTTAGCTCTGTTCGTCAACTTTTCAATCGTAATGACTATCATCCGTGTTGTATAATTAACAATTATTACTAGATTAATATCTATAAATGGCATTTTTAGTCCAGTGGTGCGTCTAGTTACGAGTTATGCCGCAGTGTGTTGTCGTTAATTTTTGTGGAGTTGCGTGGGTGAGTACAAGAGGACATCAGGTTAGTAGACCGACTTTGCTGACTTGGGTGCTTGTTTGATTCTGAAAACGTTATAACCATCGATATTATGCTATAATTTGGAAAGTTTTATGCTGTTGTAACAAAAGTTGTTATGAAAATTGCTTTGGATCTATCTAATGAGGTGTTGGGCGTTGAAGAGTGATGTTGATTGATTAGCTGGTCATTACTCACTTATTATAATTGTTTACTTCGACCGTGTTACGCGCCGCCTTATTGAAGCGCCCTTCCAGTTCGGTTTTCGACACGCCTCGCCCGGAAAACCCGTGCGGGGCCAGTTTAATCACTATGCGGTTGTTGTCGGCGTCTTGTTTTATCACATTCTTGACCGCTGCCTTTACCTGAGGGCAAACCGTTGGTTTAACGTAGTCCTGCGTCGTACGCAGGGGCAGGTCTAGTTTGAGATCTAATATATTTTCAGCCTGAAACGTTAGAAGTGAATTTTAGTTAATTTTTTTGGTTGTGGCAGCCATTTTGTGTGTTACATACACGAAATCTCAGACCATTCGTTGGAATAGCATGTGTTATTGAATATTCTGAGATAGGCCTTCGGTAATCATGCGCAATTGGACGATCCGAAGGGTTAAACCTTCGCTTTTCCTTCTTCAATGCCCAATTATCAGTATCCTCGTTAAACTGAGCTAGGTTCAACAACTTGGAACGTTCTTCTGATGGCACAAAGTTTTCAAGCACTAAAAATGCTTGCCGCAAATGCCTGGAAACAAATTAATCACTAAATCATTCAGTAACATCCACAAAACTTACATGGAAGCATCTTCATTAGCCTCACTCAATTCCTGACGTTCTTTTAAATAATTCTCGTGATTATCCGTAATTTCCTGCTTAGTACTTTGTAGTTTCGTATGTAAACGCTTTAATTTCTCGCGTTTGAAATCAACTTCTTGTTGTAATGTTTGAAATCCTTGTTTTAACTCCAAACAGGATTCTTCCTCAAGTTCCAACTCTTGTTGCATTTCAATCTCGCGTTTCTTCCTCGCTGCGATTTCATTCTTTTGTTTCTCCAATTGGATTTCGTTCTCATTGACACTATCAACTATATTCTTCCCACCATGCACCATTTGTTTCTCTAACGTGCGTAATTTCTTGCTCAACTCGTCAACTTGCATCTTTCCTTCTTCGATACGCTCCTCACGTTCACGTTTTTGGTTTTCTGTCTCTTCTCCACTATCAGACGTATCGTCCAGATCATCAAGATCATCTAGATTAATATCTTCAGATGGTACAAATTTTCCGTTGCCTTTCAGGAGTATCAAATTCTTGAGGCGTTCGATTTCGTTTTGAAGATCTAATAATTTCGCATCTTTACAATCTTCATTACGCACCGGTTGATTCTTGATTGACTTGGCTCGATAGGCATACCGTAGAGTGATGATTGTCTCATCATAATTCATACTGGCCGGCCCAATGTTCGCAATCATGATGGTTTTTGAATTTCCACCCAAGGAATCCTGAAGTAGTCTCGTCAACTTTGAATCTCTATACGGTATATGCGAGGAGTTCTCAGCCAACGCGTAAATTACATTTCCCAACGCCGATAACGATTTGTTAATCTTCGTGGCTTCCTTCAGACGATTGCCTGTCGCTCCAGTCTTGCTCTGTCGCTCACTACCTGCCAGATCAATCAAGTTCAATTTCCCCACGCGTACCGCCTTGGTGTCATTCTTGGCCATCTCGATAGAGATCTGAAAAATGGCGTGCGAACGACTGGAATGTTCATTCATATTAGTGGCACCTGTCGTGCGATTATGGTTACCATTTCGCATAGCTTTCAACATATCATCAGCACTCTGACATGTCTGCGAATGCAAATGTGAAACGAATACACCACTGCCGGACATCTCACGCAATTCCAATGGTTTCGGATTCTTTGTTTTTAAAAGATCACGAATTTCCTCCATGTAAATCTCGAGATATTTAACGGAGACAAGGAATTCAGTTCCGGTGGTGCGATTGATGTGCGCCCAGATTTGATCGAACGCACGTGGGATGATACCTTTGTTTTCTTCATCCGCACCGCCTTCCATTGTGAACGTTTTTCCGGTTCCGGTTTGCCCATATGCGAATACACAGCCATTGTAACCTTCCAAGACGGAGGCAACCAAAGGACGAATTGTTTCGTCATAAATACTCTGCTGACTTGCACTATAAAAGATAAAAAATACAAAATATTAAAACAAAATGGCGGTGTATGGTATATTGATTTAGAATTACATACTTCCAATCATACACGCCATCATAAGTGAAAACTTTATTGGATTCGTTATCAGATTTCGCCTTGGGATTGTCTACTTCTATGACACCTCGTTGTGAGTACACGTTCACCACTGACGCGCAATCTGCTGACTCTTCCTTTGAACTTATAGGTCGACATCGGACTATTACTTGCACCGACTCATTGTTGACATTTCTAGAAGTGAGACGTGACTGTAACATTAAGAAAAATTAGCGATGCATTAATCAATTAATAACAAATAATAATTATGACACATGATTACTAAAAATAATTTTAAAAATTAAAAATTATTTTCTGTTTTCTATGACCGTAAAGGAAGTTTTGGTGTAATAAATAAATATTTGGAAGTTACATCATGGTAATTAGCACGGATAAAAATGCTCAATTGGTAAATGTCTAGGCTGGCCAAACAAAACATGTTTTTGGTACTGTCGAAAATTCGAAATTGCGCATTGCAATAACACGCAACATATCACACCAAACAAACAATTAAACAAACGTGAAATGTTAAAAAAAAACAAGAATGAAGCGACTATCGAACAAACAAGAAGTGTGCACACATAAAACCAAAACTAAAGAACAAATAAACGAACAATACTTTCATCTGTTATGTAAACGTTAACTAGAGGAAATAACGAAAGCGCAAACGCACAATTGTTTTGCGCTCGTGTTATTCACGCAAATTAGAATGTGATTCAAAGTGAAATTAATTACTGGGACAGGGACACACACTCTTGCCGCACGCAATACAATATTGTATAATGCTGAGTGCGGTGTTTTTAGATTAGCGACAAATTAGGAAGTCGATTACCGCAACCGGTGCGGCCGGCTGGCCGTTCAGATGCGATTCCTCGTCCATTGCTGGCGGAACATCCGGAGTGCTGCGACGAAGCTGGCGCATTCGAGGTTAAATTTTCGCACTGGACCGATGTCACGGCGATGCGTCGCGCACGAAAACGGGAAATTATCGATTATTCGCCCGTCTGGTCGCCGGGCGCGCATTCACGCCGGGCCGCCGACAAACGCACCGAGCGCTTCGAGAGTGCGCGCGATACAAACACCGCGGCGAGCGTGCAGACAGAGCGGCGAGGGTCGCGCAGGAAACTTGCGAGAGTTTCAAACTGACGCGCGTTCCTGCCACTCTGACACGTGCTGCCACCTACTACAAAAAGTAGAACTAAAATCAGTGATATACTGGATATTCACGATGTCAAATTTTGTGATGTCAAACGTGAAATATTTACACAGTGAACGTTTTATTTCGTTTTTGACGTAAATTTCACTTTTATTTAAGTTACACTTCAGGTATTTATTTTGTTTCGTAAACATTTTTTGATTTATTTGCACTTTTGAAGGTTATATTTGGCGAAACCATTATTAACCTACAAAATGCATTTTTTGAGTTATGTATAAATTGAACGTTGCGACACAAACGCGATTATTACACACGTGCGCACAGAACAAATGTGTTTAATAAACGTTGATACACATTCAATTCACATTTTTATGAACCAGAACAAATTTTCCAAAGCGTCGTAGAAATGTTGTTGAATGTTGAAGTGCATTAACACAGCGGAAAGAAAACACACGCCGCATTGGCTACATTGTTAAAGGTAACAAAGCGTGTATTGATGGAAAGGCTGAAACTCAGATGAAACAACAAACGGTCGATCGTTTTCATCGCTATTTGTTTTCGCGCTTTGCCAGGTACTGCGTAGGTGCTGCTGGAATTGGAATGATTGCATATCACGTTATCGGCATATTGAGTTGGAGAAAAGTATATACTTAATTATAAATGACTGATGAATCAATTTATCGTAAATATTGCAGTATTTTAAAACATCCACAACGCGCAAAAATCATTAATATGAAATATTTTTTATGATTTTATATTAAAAAGTTATGTTTGAAAGTTTTTAAGCTGTTGCGTAGTATTTTGAAATGTTAGTAAGGCTGTTACCATTTTGTATCCGCCAAAAATAACGAACAATATTGTGTTTACGAGCGTAGCGCGAATTTCATTATTCGACATTGTAGAATAAAAGCGCACGGAGAAACAGTACGTGCTGAGAATATCTTCAAGTGCTCACAAAAGATGGAAAAACGTGTATGGATACGATTTCCAGTGTCGGGGCATATTCCGTTATTGTTATATGATGATATCATTGCATTTTCAATCATCGTGCGCAGTTTTCAATAGAGAAAACAGCGAGATATTAGATTTGGAAGCCGGTCCTGCGCGAAAAATGTCGAAAAACGAAGTGAGAATGTGCGCACAAACAAATAAACGTAAATTACTGCAGCAAAGTCGGATGCATCGCGTTGAGGAATAAGACAAGATCATGATAAAATGAATAGCGAATATGGAAAATAAGTTGTTAGGTAAAATAACTGAATATTTATAGGTTAGAATCAATTGAAGTGCATTTATGTATTTGAAATGCCAGATGTTACAATTGCTTCATTTTTTGATAAGAATAAGAAACACTAGAATGTGAATCATGAACGTGCGATGCGAAACAATGGCGCATATCGCCTACACTATGACTCAATTTTGCATTCAACATTGTAATTTCGTATTGGCTAGTAGAACGCATGTGATATCATCTGTAATAGTAAAAATATAATGTAGTCACTGGTATGTACAGTTCAGCAGTTCTGGTCAATTAAGAAAAAACAAAACAAAATGACAAAAGTTTGTTTATTTCATGGTGAATTGCTTTTCATTGCGTTTTCAAGGTTATAATTTTAACTGTGAATTTTACGGTGTTGTAACGTATGCAACCATATATACACATTTTTCAATAACCTAAATTTCAAGTTTCTGTTGTTGTAGTTTTAATTCTTTGTTTTCTATTAATAACAAAAGTCTGTTTATTTCATGGTGAATAACATTTTTTAGGTTATACTTTTAATTGTCTGTTTCTACAGTATTGTAACCTATGCAACCATATATACACCTCATTCATTAACCTAAATTGCAAATTTATTTCATTGTAGTTTTATTTTTTTGTTTTTCTATTTATAGAGAGTAATTGAATACGCATTGTGCAAATAAAGCCGAATCACTTTAAATACTTAGCACTGTAAACACTCGATTAGATCGTAATTTGTACACGATGTAATTAATCACAGGCGCGGGGCGCACACTGCCCGCGGTTTTATTTGAGCTCTCATCGAATTGGAATAAATTGCTGTAAACGAAAACCGGGCTTTGGTTGTCCAAAGTGGACGCAAAGCTGACCGTCGTCAACGTAATTACATTTTGTCAACAGATCAACACTCTACGCGTACACGTATTGTGAAAAGGACAATTAATCATTTTTAGTACGTACACATACGTACTTACGTAGTTATTTAGAGTTTTGATAAAACTTTATCGGATATGATCAATTTTTCAACGTAAATGTTACATTGCATACAGCTACTTCAGTTTTTTGCTCTGTGTAGTGGTGTATGCTTGTATGCATTTCCGAGGTGCATATGGGTTAATATCCTGTCGATTTTTCTTGTCGTATCGGAAAATTTCAGAGTTCTTGGTTATAACATCTGATTATCCGAGATTTTACATTCAAAATTATTGATATAAATGTTTTGTATTCAATTGAAATCAAAAAGTATGGGTATTCCGACCTTGAAAGTTGAATTCCACCAGGAATAAAACATTTTCTTTTTTATCATTTTTGTATCGATTTCAAGGCAGAAAAAAGTATATTAACTATAAAGTGGCTAAACGGGAGTTTTATGCAGGCGCAAGCTCCACCCCGTGACTAAAGTACTTTAGTCATGGCCTTGCCTGTCCGTGTTTAAAGTACCGCTTTTTTTATGTCTTAAAATCGTGGAAAAACTGGCGCTTTAAAGGTGGAAGTAGAATAAATTAAATTTTACATGGGCTAAGAAATAGTGCATGTGCATTCAGTTGATATTTCAATTTTCAAACCATTAATACAAAGGATAACCTTTTACATTGATAATTAGTATTGAATTACGGTCAGTCGACATTCTAGACACGAAGAAGGATGCGTTGCTTTAGTTTGCTTTGCGCTCTACTCGCATGTGACCTGATCAATATCCTCGTTCCATGTCACATGCCACACATACTGTATCAATAAACAAATGAATTGAGAGATTATAAAGTCATTATGTAGTGTTGCAGCGTCACCGACATTAACATGTTGTATACAGGTGGCAGATAGGGTAAAATTTTACAAATGTTTAATATTTGTTTAAAGTTAACAGTTGCGATTATACTCGTAGTAGGTACTTACGTTTTGCTAGTAGATATTAATTTTATTAATATTATGGAGGTAGAAGAATAGTTATTCGAGTTAGATTTCATTGAAGTTGTTGTTTCTCAATGGCTCTTGTTCGAATTTGAATTAGAATGTAAATTTGACCAGGTTAATCCTTTGGCTATGAATAATAAACAAACAAAGACTTTGAGCAACCATATACAAGGTGTGAATATTCATTGTGTCACAATTTATTTTTATTTTTTGAATATTGGAGACAGTAATTTGCCCGTGTTTTTAATTTTTAAAGGAACAATTGTTTCATCAAACTTATTAATTTATTCGGTATACATTAAGTATAAAATTCTTAATCTTAAGATATTTAATCCTTATCAATTATATTTTTCCCCGGATATAAAAATCAATTTAAATAAAAAAAAAAAAATATTTACAATTTGTGTTATAATAACTTTACATTAATAAATTTTGCTTTATTTGATGAAGAAATTAATTATCAATAGATTTTTGAAACAATCAATATTTTACAACTAATACTTTTTGAGTAATTCGTGAAAAAGTCTGATAAACACAATTTTTGCGTTACACCTTCATGAAAACTTTAAATACGTGTTTGATGCGAGTACAACCAGACGATTTTACAACGCGGTTATTATTGCACTATGCACATTTCCACGCTTCTATGTGCAGATGTTTGCAGCAGCGATTTGCTGTTTCAACCCCTTCATTTCCCTACAAATTTCAACGACCTTATGTTACTCACTTTGTTGCTTAACGCGCTACATTTTATGGCGTCATCTTCTGTCTCCCATTTTAAATACGTACACACATGCCTAACCTCAATTTTGATCTCTTCTCTGCTTTCCGAGGGCAATATAATCGTCTGGCACAGCTTACACAAAATAATCTCAACGTAATTAAATCAATAAATAAGCCTAAAAATTTCGTTAACATTTTTACTTAAAAGGCTTAAGACAAAAATTTAAATATTAAGGTGTAGATGACGTTAATTTCGGTTCATTTACTTGCGTTGTTGCACTTCAGCAACACAAAAACACAAAGTTTCAGTGCTAAATGAAATGAAATTTGCATATTATTTACAATGTTATTTCAAATTCAAAAAAAGTTTATTTTTAAATCTAAATGTTGTTTCTTTGTTGGGCGAAAACATGATAATAATGAAAAGTTATTAATATAAAAGGGAAAATTATACGTATTCATCGATGCATATCTACCTGTTACAAATTATACGCACAATTCACAGGCGTGTGGAAAAAAATTAATAATGAATTAAATAAAACGTAAATATGTGTATTTATGTTCTTTTGCACAACCGACTCCATTGCGTGAAAACGAAATAAAATTTAATAAACGCTTTTATTAAAAAGGGACAATCCACAATTGTTCAAATTGAAAATCGCAGACAATGCAAATGATAAGTATAAAATAAACATTAAAAAATGTATGGGGAACATATTTTAGTATAAATTTTTATCGACACTATGAAATATGAATTATTTTAAGATACGTGACATAAAAGTTTTGAGTTTTTAAGGCGTAAGTTTACTCTGGGTCAAAATGCTTTTTATGTTGGTTAGGAAATACTTAAATATCAATTTAAGGGAATAGTTCGCTTGAAGTTCGCGAATCTTTTGAGAAACGAATAGATCAAACAAATTTTTTAACAATTTGACGCCTTTTTGCGTATTTTCCTTACATTCTTCCTAGAAAGATAAAAATGCAGAGAAAAATAACACAAAACGTTTTATAATGAATTATGCAACCTAAAACATATTAAATAGATGTTTTTTATGTAATCCTTTTAAAATGAAATATTTTCTATGATAATTTAGAGGATATCAAGTAATTTTTATTTCCAAGAATGTACCAAATCCTTTTTGCAATTTTACGATTCAATTTTTGTCTAAAAATCAATTTTCAACCCGATATATTCCAGAAAATTACGTTTTGTAACGAATTATGCAACCAAAACACATTTAATAGCAGTTTTTTTTAATATAATCTCTAAAATACCATATTTTCTGCGATAATTTAGAGGATATTAAATAATTTTTATTCTCAAGATTGTATCAAAGCTTTTTGCATTTTTTGACTCAATTTTTGTCTAAAATATTCAACACAATATTTTCCAGAAAATGTTGATATATTTATATTTACATTGATATACTTTTTACTCAAAAATGTCATCAAACCGTTGTCTGTCTGCCTTTGTATGTATGCTTCCCTATGAAGCCACCATCGGGTGTTTGCGGATGTGTGCGATTGCGTTGGTGTGCTAGGGCACACTGGCTCGCGGATCGGATAGTATAAAAGCGGCGGCGCGACGCACACGCGACGCTCACTTTCAAAATCAGCCGCCGCCAGAAGACCACGCTCTCTCACGCTGCGAAGGCCCCCCAGCTACACACAGTCCAACGGCGCCGAGTGTCGCTGCATTTGCACTAATCTGCATTAATTCGCACAAATTAAAATCAAAACTGATTGACGCACAAAGCAAACAAGTCAAGCAAACAGAAAAAAAACTAAATTAAATTCGTGCGTCTGTTGATCATCAACGGTTTCATTGAGAACTGCTAGATACAATCGCAAACAATTAAGGTGAGTTATAGTATTAGTATAATATACTTTAATAATTATAATTTATTTATTTGAAAAAATAATTTTTTTTATTTTTGAGAGTTTTGTCGAAGTAATTTAGATTAATATTACTGGGAATTAATTGAAAAACTTTGCGTGTCTGCCATTATCGTAATATGGCTCCGATTCAGAAATCCGGCGATTCGCCAATAAAACATTGTAATTAACATTCTAATTTCAGTCGAGTCAAAATTTCAATTTCAATATTTCTATATCTATAATATTTATTCAATATTATAAAACTTTTTCAATTGCACACAATTCTAAAGCTATAACTTTTCTTTTGTTAATTTAAATTTAAAACATTTTTGAACAAAATTAAAATTATATAAATTTGGCAAGTGTAAATTGAATTTAATTTTATAATAAATTCCGGAGCTTTTTTGGTCACACTTGAAATACACGTAGGTATAATTTAGAAGACATATTGTATTATTGTGTGCAATTGAATCGGTGTGAAAGCGAGCGGCGAGTCGAAAGCAACAATGTTTTGAACAAAGGATAAATGGAGATAATGTGATTTGGCGATTGTGGTGAGGCCGCACAAATCGATTCTTAAATTTCAATTATGCTAAAAACATTTGCCAAAAATTCAATTGAAAAAAGAAAGAACACACAAAATTTATATTTACTTTCTTAATGAATTTTTATTACAAATTAATTAGTCCTTTTTGAATTAGCAATTGAATGAAACTTTTAAGTTTTCACATGTGCTAAATAAATTAATTATGAAACGACGGTCGCGCGTCGCAAAGAGATGCCGAATAAGTGACACGTTGACGAATTATTTAACAAGTAATTAATAAATAAACGCACACAGTAAAGAGTAGGATTTACTAAATAGGAATTAATCCTGAATCAACCCGAAGGATCTTAATCAAAATATACCTGAAGTACTAGAAATAAATAATAAATTATTTAACTGTTGACAGTTAATTCACCCAGACTACAAATAAGAAATTCTCTAATCTCCTCAGCGACGTTAATGTTAGCGATAATGATGTAAAGTTGTCTTGTGTGCTCACCTAAGTGGCAAAAACTTGCGTTGAATTGGCTTGTTGTTCAACTAATTACACAGTTATTTGTTAGGTTAAGCCGTTAGTTGATTAAGGTGTGGGTCGGGATCGGATTGGCAGCGCGCATACTTCGCTAACCACTTGACGAGCGTGGTACAGTTGGTACTTGCCTTGATGAAATACTTGCGGCGATTACAACCTGACTGTAAGCTACTTCCTGCGCACTTGCGGTGCCGCCTACGAAGGCAGTGAGTTTCAAATTAACGCGACAGACACTAACTTCGGATACTTGTTGTTTTCAAGCAGCTAGACTTGATTAGGAAAATACCAGGGAATATAGGCAACCAATATTACACAAAGAATTGTGGTAATGTAATGCTGGTTGCCTACATTAACCTGATTTCACATTATCTCTAGCTGTTGGTTGCACAGAATGATAATCACCGATAGAATAACGATTGACGATGCGTAATAATGGCGTGATGATGACGCGCGCCGGCGACGACCGCACCACGGCCACATCCGCAGCCATATTCATTCAGGTGTAATGCTCCGTGGCGGATTAGCGCGTATGCAGGTCGCAAACATATACGCGTCCCAAGAAAATATTGATTGATTCGTGCTGGGAACGTATTTATAATTACTTTGCAAGCGGGGCGTGATATCAGCGCCTGCGACACTAAACAAAGTCGCCGGCACTTGCCCAACATGCGTGATAACAGTTTTTATACATTTTATACGGAGACAAAACAGAGACAAAAAAAGAGAGTAAATGTTTAACGTAAAAAAATCGTAATTTAATTAATTTAGTTGAATAAAAACGTTAGAAATATTTTTATATTATAATTTGCTTTTACCCGCGACTTCGTCCCGGTAGTGTTTAATAAAAAATGTAATTCGATTTTACTGTTTCTACACATTGTATGTGTCAATTCTATCAATAAGTTTCGCAATTTTATTTTAAACAAATTAATTGTTTAAAGAATTGCTAATAATGCACTTCAGCGCGCCATCTCGGATTCAACTATTTAACTAATACTAGGATTGAATCTCAATGCCAACTTTTATCCTATAGAAAAGGGCTCTCTTTAAGGTTTTCTCGGCAATTATTCGAATTTTTCTTGCTGTAAAAACCACCCCTGGACTTTAACGAACGTTTTAAAAAAAGAATTGGCCAAATTAGTGTTAGCGTTATTGAGTTATGCGCTTACCAACACATTTTGCGATTTATTTTTATATTATAGATTCAAAAGTGGATATGTTGCATGTATAATTATGGATGATAAATTGTGGCATTTGTAGATTATAGCTATGACTATTCGCAATGCGCTGATAAATAAAATCATCGATTCGATTCGATTCGAAGCGCGCTGTGTGCACATTACAAACGTGTGATTAACGCATTGTTTGATATGCCATATCGCGTAATTCAATGGTTGTCATTTGCGAAATGTAAACATCTAAACATCTAAAGCATTCCGACCGTTTAGCTGTACTTTACTTCTATTTTAGCATTGCCTAAAATATGTTTGATACAAAAATTGGTTTAATAATAATATCTACTCTATCAGTATTCGTGCAATGCGGAATTAATAATAAGTTGATAAGGTGGGATACTGATAAATTGATATACTGATAATATGACAAACGTATGTATTAATCAAACATCATAATTTGATATTATGCAAATTGTTTAAGAGGAGGTTTTGGAGCTCAACAGGGCCACTCAAAAATTTAAATTTTTTTAAAATTTTCATAGATATCTCCGAAACTACATAAAATTAAATTTTGAAATTTGGAGGAATGGTGCATTTAGTTATGATTTATTGTTGTGTAAATTTTTGTGAGGATTTCTTGGATAGTTTTTGAATAAAATGCAAAAATCGAATTTCAATTAAACTAAAATATCTAAGAAACTACTAAATATACAGCCTTGATACACATACCGTATTAAAAAGAAATTAATTCCTCATCGTTTGTGCATAATTGTTTTTAAATTATTTCATTTCTTTGGAAAATACAAAGCAAAAAACAAAATTTTTGACAGAATTTTTGCTGTGCTTTGAATCCTGCTCCTAAATTACTCGTAATTTATTGCTTTCTTATTAAATTTTATAAAATACCTTAATAAAAATGATGAAATATAATGCTTGACATTTATTTTCATCACAACTTTTTTACAATTTTTTACTTTATTTATTCAATAAATATTTTTTCTTTCTGGCATATGCGTTTTATTGCCTTGGTAATAATAATAAATTATGTTTGCTAACTGGTACTCGTACGTGTGTACCACCCACATGAATAATTATTTAATGAATAAACCCGCAATTCGTCCGCCTGAATAAAAATACCCGATTAGAGGCTGTGAAGGCGCCGGGCCAAATTAAAACCGCGTTTGCCTCCGCCCGCAACCGCGCACCGTAAACAATGCCGCAAACAATACAAACCGCACCATCACACCATCAATGCAAACACAATCAACAATGCGATGTCGTTAGTAAACACGCGGATTAAATAACCAACCGGAGAAAAATAAAACGTCGAACAAAAAAAAAACAGCATCGATGCGTGTGTGTTTCGAATTTATTTGGGCGGAATAATTGATGAAGCCATTAAGTGATGGAATAATTGCAGTGAGCGAAGAATTGGAGAGATAAAATTACATGGAGATATTATTAAGACTTTTTGCGGGTAAATGCATTAAGGTTATGTTACTGTTATTGGAGTAATAAGAGTAATACAGGTGAAGTTAAAATGAATATTTAGGCGAATAATAACGGTGTTTGAAATAATACTACCAAGTTTGCAGTATAGGCGACGAAGTGGTTGCTTAGCGACGGAATCAACAACCGCAGTGAGTGTTGCGATTGTTGCGGCATTGATGACAGAACGTTTCAGTATTATTAGTGTGACAAGAGCAAAAAAATACATCACGTTAATTCACTCATTTATTGTATCGCGTTGAAACAACCATTTTATGTTAATTTTTATTATTTCTAAACGACGTAATTATTTCACTTGCATCTTTTGTATTGCGCTTGACATTTCTTGACACTTTTGTCGACTACATCAATTTTATAAACCGTTGTGCATTTCGTAAGAGTTGCGCAAATCACAAACTGTTGTACTCGTACGTGTGCGGTTGTCGGTTGCACGAGTTTCATAGAAGTGATTGGCATGTTACGTTATAAACTGCTATCAATAAACGCGCGGATGCAACGACTGTAACATGTAACCCCAACAGGAAGGCGGAAAACGCGATAAAAATACAAAAGCGCATCTGAAAGCTGATGTCAGCTTTTTGCACCATTTGTGGGTGAATTTTATTAGCTTTTTATCATCGCACAAAATTTTACTAGAAAAACTTATTTCTTTAATATTAAAATCTTTAAATTCTGCTAAATTTAAAATTAAATTATTTTATTCACTTGTTACAAACAATTTATTATTCGATACTAATTCTAGCAATTAGATTACGAGTGTTTATGACCCGTTCAGCTTTAATACGCCGAGCTAATAAAAAAACACCTTGAGCGAAAAAAATAAACAGCCGCATTGAGTAACTGACCGGCCGGTGTTGTTGGTTACGCGGCGTTGGGATTGAAGAGTTTTGCGGGGGAAAAAGTACCGCCACCACACAATGAAATACGCCCGCAAGACTGGAAGTTACGACGCGGCGTTTGACTCGAATATGGCTTAGAAAGCAACACATTTTTTGCGCAGTGTTTTCCGCTTGATTTTCAGCGAAATAAAAGCTGCGAGAAAGCAGAAAAGTAAAAAAACAGAAAATGCTGAGTGATGGGGACGTGTAATAGCGTGGCTTTATATTGCTCGTTTGGCTTGCTATTGTTTCGACACACCTGTTGCCTAGGTCTCACAACAGATTTAACAATTGTGTACAAATAACACAAAAATACTAAGAAGGAATAATTTTATACTACGGAGTGTATAAAAGAAGGTGTTGTTGCGTTAGGTTTTACTTAAGTTGATTTTTTTTTAGTTTTTAATTAATTACTTGAATCTTAATCAAATTTAATTAGTTATTATGTTATTAAATTTTCCTCTTTATTGTAATATGTCTAGTTTCATTAAAAAATTTATTTTTAACCAATTTTTATAATTTTTTTTTTCAAAATTTTACGTTTTTTCTTTAAATTTGGCCAAAAATTTTTACTCCACAAAATGTTTACATAACTATTTAATTTTATACTAATTTTGGCCAGAAATATAATTCTATTAAGTAAACTTTTTTTATCACATAATTTAATGTATATTGTCGCAAAAACGTCCTCAATCATTTTTTTCTCATTAAAAATTATTTATCGTCAAAAACTCCAAGATTTTTTTATATTTTTCACTTCGTTATACTTTGCTTCTGTGCTGCTGTGCAATATGGTAATGGCAATTACCGATTTGAATAATGTATCACAGTAATACGATTACCTTATTACTTTATTAACTTATTACCAAAATTTGGCTTCGCGTCGCTTTTTTTATTTTTTCGCCGTGTCACCAGAAATTATCGCGGCGAAGGCGTGATTGTGGCGACTTGCGCATACAAGTGCCGTCAAAGTAATGAAATTAATTAGCTAATTGGATTTTAATTAACACGCACGTTTTTTAGTATGCGCAACGTGGGACTAAAATGCAATCAGAATAGAGCTATTTAGCTGTGGGGCGTTATTAAAAGCCCACTGGACAGGAAACAAGTCCTGGTGGTGTTTTACTGGGTGCCATTGGGACAATAATAGTAATCTAAATATGTTATACATAATTGAGTGAATTTGTATTTTTGGAAACATTTATTTTATAGGTTTCATAACGAAATGTCGCTACAATGAGATTTAATCAATAATAAAATAGAATAAACAAACGAAACGTTATATAAATACATGTTAAAGATGTCATCTACAGAATAAGAAATAGAAATTGTGAAGGGTGTCTCAGGACTAGCTTTGAATATGAATTATGTGATATTTTATAATCTAAAAGACAATATGTTAGCAAAAAATATTACTTTTTTACTTCCAGTTTTAAAACGCTAGTTTATCCGCTAGTTGAGACACAAAAAGTACTTTAAACTCGAACGGCCAAGGTGGTGACTAAAGTACTATAGTCACGGACTTTAGTCACGGGGTGGAGCTTATGCCTGCGCTTCGAAACATGGAAATAGAAGAGAAATAGAAAAATAGCGTACGCTTTCCGTTTAGCCATTTAATACTTCCTATATTATTAAAAAAAGTCAACATAATGTTAAAATCAGTTGATCTGAATCCGAGACCTTAGGCCCTTGGTACATTCAACCCACATATTGGTTCATTAAGATGCGATGCGCACGATGGCAATTAATTTATGCGCGCCACAATAGATTCCAGTTAGTCAGTTGGTTCGCGCCAAAGGAAGCCAAATCCGCCTTGTGCAAATCGTCGGTAGTTGCGAGCAGTATCGTCGGATACGATAATGTGCGAAACATGCTCGATGGCGGATGCGCCGGGCCATTATTACGCAATCCTGCAGACATACGGTTTCTAAACAGAAACAGTGTATCTATGTTTGTGATAATCTTAATCACAATGTAACAATAACTGTATGTATCATTAATCATAATTATTTTAAAATTAGTTAAAATTATTTTAATTTTGTGAGGTTATGTTTTATTGACTACCCAAAGTTATATATTTGAAAATTTTAAGTGGTATTATATTCTATTGTAGTCCTTGCATAACAATGTAAGTCGAGTACACTCAACACGTGTTTCTATTAGCGTGCGCACGTTTTCATTTTGCTTAATTTAATTTTATCTTCATCTTGGTGTTTTTTTTTCTTATTTTCTTCGTCGTTTCTAAATACATAGGCATTGAAGCGTGCGCTCTAGTTATCGCCGATTTTGCCGGGGTTTCCAACACGCTTTTCAACACTTCTCCCCAATGATTTTCGCGTGCTGAAGTCGTAAATAATATTCACGATAAAAATGTCACCGAGACACTTTGAAAAACCCACATTAAGCTTTTCTATGGCCTGACACTTGAAGCTTGACTCGCCGGTACACAATAAAAATTTGTTTGAATGTGTTTCTGAACGCTTTCCAAGGCGTCCTCGCTGCAGCTTTGAGCTACAAAGAATTCCGGATAAGAAATGGATAAGTAATTTAAATCGTTTTCAATCCGGGTCGGCGCACGATGACGAGAAACTCATTTTTAACGCGCGATGTCAATGTATTCACGACATTTTTCCATTCATATGATGCTGTAAAGGCGAATGTTGCATTCAGCAGCTGCTAATGATATCGTCCTTTCAAATTGATTGCTTCCGACTGACTGGAACACGTGTCGCAATATTCTATACATCTATTTTGTATCGGAGAAAAATTGAATGCAGTTGAATTTTTTGTTTTCTGTTTCAGTAACATGCGTGGCTATCCGAAAATGAAAATCTTCTGCGCTGTCTTCTGTCTGATGGTTGTCATTGCCGAAGTGGCGCATTCAGCGCCATCTTATGGAGACTATGAAAGTAAGTTTTAAAACTTTAATTAATTAATTCGTTTCTTGTACTTCAGTAACTATAAAGTTGAATCTTTCAAGTTTTAACTTTTCAATTTCACTTCCACACAGAAATCTAATGTTTTAAAATGTCCGTTTTATAATAAATTGTTCTTTGGCTTTGAAGCGTTTCGTTGCGGGTGGGTTGTGGCTTTATTCTGACAATAGGAACAATAGAACAAATTAAAAGGCACACCGTGTGCTGTTCACTCGTGCAAAACGGTCAGCCACGTCAGACTTGACGTTCCCGAAAGTCGAAGGCGGAAAGCCGGGATGCGAATATATTCGTATACCTAGAAGTGTTAGAATTGTGCATGTTGTCCGGCGCCTCCACACTCTACCGGCCACCGGAAAATCAGAATTAGGACATGAATTTTAGACAAGACGTAGCGTGAAATTGCAAATCAATGTTACACTAGAGTAGAATACATCAAATATTCCTAAAATTTAAAGATTTATCTTTATTTTATTTACGACATTAATTTAAATCATGATCTAAGGATTAAAAGCAAAAATTAGATTTTTCAACAAAATTTTGGAATTTTTTAAAATTTGAGCATAACTTATATTGCAGTGAAGAAAATATAAAGATAAAACAATAATAATTTAATTAAACTTTACTTTTTGTGGTTTTTACTCTTATTTTATAATAAAATTGATATAATATTTAAAATTAAATTGTAGCATTGTCCACAGTCCCAGTTAAACTCTGAGTTTATCTTTAGCAATATACGCAAATTAAGATGTAAAGTCTTGCCCATTTGAGAAGTTGAGATATTTGAATAGTTGCGTTCTTTGGGTCGCGTTTTATCCTAATACAGTGCGCAAATTGAAGGATCAAGCCCCCAACTGGTTTTAACGCTTTTGCGCGAATCCTCTGAGAAGCTTAACGTCCTAAGTCTGCTTCTAGGCCTAAATTCAAAGCGATAATCATGACAAGAACATTTAATTCTACACAATTCTATTCTACTACTCAAGTATTCAACGGCTTCAAAGTCCAAAGGTTGACCGTTTTCTTTTTACATCTTTATCTTTATATAACATATGTCTGCCTACATACGCCTACCTACTTCAATACTTCATGTGTTATTTGTTAGTCTATTAATAATTTAATATGATTAAAATGGAAATGGAAATAATAATATGTGACTAAGCAAATATTCGAATTATGTAGCAAATAATATCTACTTTAATACATTGATGATATATGAAACATTTATGATATTATTGTTGAGTAAATAGTTTGACAATTTCTGGTCAGTTTACACACTGTCGCTTTACATTTAACTTAAGTTTAATTAATGCAATGCCCACATATATTCAAATATGAGACGTAGTTTGGAATTAGTTTTGATGGGAGAACCAGAAACATTAAATAAATTAAATAAATTATTTTTTAGCTTAACTGCGAATTGCATTGCAACTGTAGGTATATTGTGACAGATAAATAATTAATTTATTATTATTGAAACGAGGAGAGCAATCAAAATCAAACAGATCATTATCAGATGATTAAAATTATATTTTCATTTTCAATGTGTTTAAAAGCAATCATTGCATTTTAATGTTTCATTTATATTAATATATCTATCAAATAAATATTGGAATAGTCCAAATTATATCTATAACATAAAAATGAATCGCAAAATCTGTTGGTAAACGCATAACTCTACCACGCCTATACTAATTTGGCCAATTCTTTTGTAAAATGTTCGTTCAAGTCCAAGGATGGATTTTGCGGCGAGAAAAATTTTAATAATTGCCGGGAAAACCCTAAAGACAGCCTTTTTATAGGATTAAAGTTGGCATTGAGATTCAATGATAGTTATAGTTAAATAGTTGAATCCGAGATGGCGCAATGAATTGCATTATTAGCAATTCTTTACATAATTTATTTCTTTGAAATAAAATTGCGAATCTTATTGATAGAATTGACACATACTATGGCTAGAACAAGGGAGTAAAATCGAATTACATGTTTATTAAACACTACCGGGACGGAGTCGCGTGCAAAAGCTAGTAAATAATAAATATTGAAAGCTTCCGATGGTAGAATAGATATTTCGAAGTGTTTCTTTTATTTGCATTCAATGAAAAATATTTGGTTTTTGTTAAGTTACAGTACTAAGTAAATCACTCAAAATATAATGATTTATTTCTATTTTACTCGTACACCGTGTTGCGTTACTAATGTTTTATTTGTTCTTTATATTTTGCTTTATCTGAATTATCAGAAATTATTTTCTACTTTATGATTTTCTTGATAATTTAACTTTCGGCAAAATCATAAGAAAATATCGCAATATTTTTAAAAATTACTAAATAAATAATTCGTGTATTTTTCTTTCCTAACTTTAGTTTTACTTTCAACCCTTTTTGCATAGTATCAAAGGCCAAAACACAAATAATATATTCCTGTTCGACATTTATTTCTATTTATATTTTATTCAAACATTAGTTTATGCAAAATATTGCAACTGCTGAACTTGCCATTTCAGGCTGCGTTTCTGCTCGAACGAGCATAACATAAATGTTAATAGAAAAATATTGTGCTTTTAAAATCCAACAAAATACATTCATAAAAAAAGTATGCTCCCTGATGCATTAATGCACTAGTTGCCCTGCTTTTTATTGACACATGAAAATTTGTAAAATAAACAAGAGAAATTAGTTTTACTGCATTCAGATTTTTTTCTTTTTTTAACACATGGTTGAATTGCTTTTTAGTTTAATGTTTAATGTTTACAATTCGCAGAAAGAATAAATTCAATATTTTTTATATTGTATTTCCACATTGTTCGGATTAGTGATATTTATTTTTTTTTCTGCTGAGAATCTTTCGATTTGTGTGCAATCGGAGCGGCGCGTTGGGTCGTTGTCGTCTTAATTAAGTCCGTAATTAATTGCAACGGCACGCAATTTTAATGCTGCTAAAATGCTTGCATGGATCTCAAATTCAAGCAGCTAAAACGCGACGCAGAATTACTTCCAGCTCTTCTATTTCGTGATGATTTTTTTTTTGCTTCAATTTCCTTCATTTATGAAGACGTGATGGTAGAATTCGCAAATACATTTATCTCCTCTTTAGTAAAGTTTTTTCCTTTAACTTTTTAAATTTCGCGTTGAATCAAAGGCGAGCGAGCTGAATGTGAAAAACGCGACGCGATGAATGCGCGCGAATGAATATACTGACAACTCTAGACGAAATTGAATCGCATTCTTTCTAATTACTTTTTTAAGCTGCAATTAACGCGCCTTTTATTTTTTCAATAGCAAATTATATTAGTCATAAAAATATCTTTTAGAAATTCCAAAGTGTTTTTGTTTTGTTGATATGACAGAATTTTATTTTTATTTTTACATTTGTTTCTTTTTGTGTTCTATTATACGTTTCACATTTGATTTTTATTTGAACTCGGACATATTGCAAGCCGTCGGACCTCATTTTGTAGTTTTTTATTGTCATCTTCGTATTTTTATTGCGTCAGACCCTCGGAAAGCTAGATTTTCGAGAAGGGATGAAACAAATTTTGCACGAATCACAATCTTGGTCCTTGGAGACGACGGATACGATATTGACATTTGAGGGCATATTATACAAAGGTCCACGTATAGCTTTGACAGCTTATGAAAGGAATACCCAACACGTACAAATAATAAAAATATGACACAAAAAAATGAAATAATTTTAATTTAATTTTCTATCATTTAACCTTTGAGAAATATCTATATCGATTGTTTGTGTGCGCATTAATGTCGTTTGAATAAATAATCGCGCGGGCTTAAAAATAAGGGTGACTTCACCGGCCGGTAATTAGCGGCCGCCATCATCCTAGGAAACACATTCCTAATACGCTCTAATTCACATCGGTCTTGTGGATGCGCGTGATATTGCCGTCTACCGCGGCGGCCGTAATGCGCTGCACATAAATATTTAATCAGCGAAAGCCTTTATCTAGCAAACCGGCAATTTACCACCAGCTGCACATTATAATACTTCAATAAGGCGGCATTTTCATAGATAGTTCCTGCTAAATTACGTCAGGCCAAATCTGATTAAATTAAAGTTTCAAAATTAAAAAAGTGAAATTTATCATTAAATAAATCTAATTTTAAAGTTCTATACGAAAAGTTTTGATTATATTAATTTTTAGTTCAGAAAAGAGTATAAATTGAATAGTGACATTTTAAAAATTAAATATTCCTGTAAAAGTTGCCGATGTTATATCTCAGCTATTTTAAATCGCGAAAGATTTGCTAAAAGTATCAGTGAAAAGGAAATTTACAGGAGATTGGACCTATTCAGCCGTGAAATGCGTACGCGTTGTCACTTTTCTTGCGTTGAGGAAAATGAACAGGAGTTGAAGTAAAAGTTTTAAATTGAACTCTACACTTTCAAATTATTATTACTCACAAACTAGGGCAAAAAAATATTTTATATTAATTTATTTATTAATTGATTTCAATAAAATTATACGTCTATAATATAAAAATGAATCGCAAAATCTGTTGGTATGCGCATAACTCAACAACGCCTTGACCAATTTGGCCAATTCTTTTTTTTAAATGTTTGTTAAAGCCCAATGATGGTTTTTACGTCGAGAAAATTGAATAATTACCGGGGAAACCCTAAAAACAGCCCTTTTCGGTAGTATAAAAGTTGGCATTGAGATTCAATCATAGTTATAGTTAAATAGTTGAATCCGAAATGGCGCGCTGAAGTGCATTATTAGCAATTCTTTATATAATTAATTTCTTGAAAATAAAATTGAGAATCTTATTGATCGAATTGTCATATACTATGTCTAGAACCAGAGAGTAAAACCAAATTATATTTTTATTAAACACTACCGGGACGAAGTCGCGGGAAAATGCTAGTACAAAATAAAAATGGTTAAAATTTAATATGAATTACCTTCATATGAGGCTATTTCGTATTCAGGTTATTCCTTGAACTATTTTATTAGATTTCTAGGTATCTATATCAAATAAATATTGATTTTACGCTTCAGAATACATGATTAAAGACTAAGGAAGCAGGAATTGCGTTACCTGCAAGTTTGCTCTTGCTAGACGTTAAACGCATAAACTAATTAGCTTAATTGCAAACAACTGCCACCAATCATCATCTCATGGTCAGCCCGTTTAGTCATCGCTGTCATTACGCAGTCTTCGTAGATTGTGCTACCTTTTCACGCCCACGATGCGTACAAATTACGAAACGCATTTGGAATGGATAAAGATGTATGTGACCTTTGTTGTTATTCCACACCTGAGAATTATGAAATAGTATAGTGCAATAGTACAGTGGCGAGTTGATTGGAAAAGATAGAAAGAACGAGGAAAGTTTTATCGCTTTGCTAACTTCAATTAGTTTTATTAGCGTCGCTTTCTGATCAGTTTTAGATAAGTTGCGCGCGTAACAAGTGGCCGCAAGGAAAGTTTTAATTTAAACATTAAAATATTAATAAATCAAGTGATTTAGTTTATGGTTTCTTTTATTTAAAGTTTAAAGTTTAAAATTATGCTTTTAATTTATTCACTACAATATTTATTTTGATATTACTAGGAAATCCGGGTTTTGTTACGATATTATTTTATTATTGACAAGTTTCGCCTAATTAGCATTTTTAAAGATTTTTTCTACTTTTACTTTTAAAGCGCGTGTTTTTCCACGGTTTTGAAGCGCAAAAAGTGGTACTTTAAACCCGGATACTCAAGGCCGTGACTAAAGTATTTTTATGCATCTATAACCTTACTTTTCTCATTAGTGTGCGAGCGAATTTTGAAGATTTAAAATACAAAAGTTTAAATTCAAAAACCTAAACGTGGAATTAAGTGAAAATAGAAGAAATAGCGTAAACATCACGTGGCTAAACGTTTCAAAAACTCCCGTTTACCCATTTGATATTTAATTTACTATTTTAAACATGAAAAAAAAAGTTTTTAATCCATAATATTTTATAAATTTACAAAAAATATATTTTTTTGCAAAACTTAGCGTTATGTGATGATACCTTGCCATTCAGTGGTGCTTCAACTACGTCCCACGATAAGCAATGTAATTTAGTCGTAAAATAGTTAATTATGTATCCTCCCTTTTATAAGACCCTTGAGGATGAATGCGGTTTTTATTTGCTTTTATTCTACTTGGTCGTTCGTGTGCTATACTGCTATCTATTTTTGGCTAATTTGTGATTGTGCTAACTGCCACAATTATAATTAGAACAACTAAACAAGTAATGAAGGTTTACCACGATATTATTCTTTGTTTTCGGCAATAAACGGCGTTTTATGGGTGATGCTTTTTTTTATGGAGATGATATTGTTAACTAGGTACTGGATTTAAATTAATTTATTACAAATATAATTTCATGAGACGAGATTTCCAAGAAAAAAATAATAATAAATTATATTATAATAATTTTAACGATGCATGAAAATAGTTGCGCTCGGCACTTGTCTCGCAACTCAAATAGTGGTTACATTGAATTCCTTTGATGTGTTTTGAGAATGGTTTATATTTATAGTTTAATCAGTCAGAAAATGTTTTAATACAAAAATTAATCAAGAAAATGCATTTTTCACGATGGGATTGGAACTTGTTCGATATAATTGATATCATTGTGTGTACATCAGACTCACTCCTTTCGGGTTATTTCCAATGGAAGGGTTTTCCTTGGATAGTATTCAGCTGAGAGTTGTTTTCATTTAATATGAAGACTCATGTAAGGACAAAGCACTCTATAAGACAAATATTTTACTTGATATATCTAACCTGAAGCCCCGCCACTAATGTAATTCTCTAATTTTTCTTTATTGCGTATATAGTTTGTGAAAATTTAATAAAGCCTATTTCTGCGCAGTGTGATGTTATTTATTACAAAACAAAACAATTTTTCTACTTCCATCTTTCAAGCGCAAGTTTTTCTACGGTGTTGAAGCACAAAAAGTGGTACTTTAAACATGGACGGCCAAGGTCATGACTAAAGTACTTTAGTCACGGAGTGGAACTTGCGCCAACGCATTTGCCTACGGTGCAGCACAAGAAATGCCATGCGCTGACAGCAAATTTCGAAAATTTAAAATACAAAAGTTGAAATACAAAATTCTCTACATAGAAATAGAGTGGAAGTAGAAAAAATAGCGTAAGTATAACGTGGTTAAACGTTGTTAAACACTCGATTGATTATATGTTCGTTCTTAATCAATCTCGTAACTAAAACTTCCGTTTTGCCACTTGATATTCTATTAACGGAAGTATAACTTTCACTATCTTGTAATATATCACGAGACACCTGCATTCACTAAGAAATCTTTTAAATTTATAACCTACGCTAGGTACACCAATATCTATTACCATAATTGCCTAATAAATTAAGGGATAATTTACAAAGTATCCAAACAACTGAAGCTCCTACACAACTCCTACTTACCGTAACATTTTAAATCATATTCCACACAAGAAAGTTTACAACAAATAACTATTTGCGTTTAAAATTAATTATTCAAAACCCAGCGCTACCCAAATTCACCAACATATTCAATAAACATGATACTTAATACTGATACTGATACTTTCTGATAATTTAATGAACTTGCATTGCATTAAAAATTGAATATTTAGAGGCGTGCACCCGAAAGTTGTGTGGGCTGCGTGTGGGCAGATGGGAACGAAAGGAAGCAAAGTAAAGCCGACAGAAGGCTAACAAAAGAAATGCGGAATGTTTGAACATATTTTGCATGCATATAGAGGCATCCCCCAGACTTGGAGATAAGAGTAAAACCGTGAGGGTGAAAAAACAGCACGGAAAGGTAATAGCCCAATAAGGGATCGAGATTTTAGAAGTTTGGAGGAAAATCTATGTGGTTTCAACCCAATAAACCTACCAACCCATCCAAAACTTTAGAAAGGCAGACCTTTAATAAAATATTAATCACTAGGAATGAAAATGAAAAATTGATCACTAAGAAAATCAACTTGGTATTTTTTTATACAATTTTTTTTTGTTTAAAAAGAATCTCATCTAAAGTAAAATCACAAAAAGGGCAGTTTTCCTAATGGAATCTTGGAATAAAAGCACTTTCCGTGCGTTTTGCTTTCCGGGTAACATTTTGAAAAATCCGCCCAGGGTTATCAGTGCACACCGCATCGTTTGATGATGATGACATGTGTATAGTGTATGTTTCATATTGCGACATTTTTGCAACAGGTTGCCGTAATAATATGAAAAAATCTTTTTACGATAATATTCCATTATTAAAAAAGATGAGTTATTTAATCTTCTATAGTAGCTGGAAGAATGTGAAATATCGACCGGCTGGCGAGGTAAAAGTTTTCCGAAAATAGTTCGTGAATGTAATTTGCGCGCTTGGCGCTTCGCGACGCAATTTTTTCGCGCTTTGATGAACGCGAAACACACAGTTCCAAAGTGCGGCGGTGTGACGCTCCAACGACAGCAGCCTTTAATACATTTAACTTCTACACGGAAAAAAACGTGTGGCTTCATTGACTTGTGCAGAAAGTCACACTTACATCCTAGCGTTTACATTTTACGCGCTATGAATGTGTTGGTTAATGTATGACGGCATGCATGTAAAAAGCGAAAACATGAAAACGACAGTTTTCTAAAAATCAATCGTTTCATTTAATATGGGTATACAGAGAGTAAGTTTGGTTAATATACGTGTGTTATTGGTTGCAGACAGCATCAGAGACCTCTATGAATTACTGATGCAGAAAGAGGCGTTGGAGGAGCGGCTCGGCGCTCACCAGATGGTGCGCAAGGCTGGCAGGTCGCCATCTTTACGATTGCGATTTGGAAGACGCTCGGATCCAAGCATGCTTCCTGTAAGTTATTATTCAATACTCAATAAAATGTATTTCAATTTTTTTTGTCCCCGTAGTTTTGAGTAAAAATGTAATTTTTACATTCTTGTTTCTTGGATTTATTTTAAAGTCATAAAAATGCTAGTAATGTACTTTAGCGCCATCTAGGATTCAATTATTTAACTATTACTTTGATTGAATTTCCATATAAATTTTCATCCTCTATTTAACACTCTTTAAATTATAATTTCCAATATTTTAATAATTATTCTGCTATTCGGAACTAAGCTAAATTCTAAAAATCATAGATCATCAAAATCTTTCCAGCCGTTTTCGAGTTATAAATGTTTTAACTAACATGACTTTCTCTTCTTATATAAAATAAAACCATGTATTCATAAAATAACTCGAGTGGGTTTTTGTGACTATATCGCGTTGATTTCTGAATGTAAGCAATTTATTACGAATCAAGCAAACTACAAATTGCAGGATGAAATTCCAAGAAAATCAATTTCAAATGCATGCAAAACTTGTATGACCGCAATATAAATATAATTTAATAAAATACAATCAAACATAGTTGTCAACTAAAAAGATCATTAATTTAATCTAATAGTATATTTTTCATATTAGTAGATAATATGCCGTAAAATTAATATTAATATTTGATTGTTTTCAGGCTGGTCCTTTCATGTATCAAGCTGGAGCAGCGCAAGATGCCGACCGGACTGTTGGAGACAACTAAATAAATTTTTATCTGCTATCCCTTAAAGTCTCTCTTACTGTCTGTCTCGTCCTCGACCACCCCCAAAAATGTACATCCTTGCAATTCTGACTTTTCCTTCTCATCGAACGCGAACGTGAATGCAAAGCAAACTTGGAACGAGCGAGACGCCAACATCACCCATGGAAAACTTGTGAACGTCTTATATTATCTAAAAACTAAACTGGAATTCATATTAAATTAAATATTTAACATTTTTAGACGGATAGATACCCGAAATCAATGTCAAATAATCAAATTAATTCTTTATTACCTAAAAACGCGCTATTCTACTGAGCTGTGAAGCAAACAAAGCACATATCCGATGTTGGTTTGATTAATATTACGATATTTCAGTTGACACTTTGTTAAATTTATAAAATAAGCAATTATTAGCTGAATATTCACTGACAGTTCTTACTTTACACGTTCATTTACGCACTTGTTGATTATTTGGCAGGAGACTGATGCAAACGATTATATTTTGTTTACAAAATGCTAATAAACAAGTATAATGAGTAGAAGCTAAGATAGGAATGTATTTTAACAAAGAATGAGGAAAAAAGTTGAAAAAAACATTAAAATTGGGCGAATGACAAACCTAAGCGCTACCTTCCGGCAAAATTGTGTACTTGTATAACCTCTACTGTGTAAAACAACCAGTGTTAGAGACATGTAGCACCCATTTCTTATATTAATCTTTATTGTGACACTGCACACTTGCAAAGGGCGAATACGAGGCTGGTGGCGATGCAAATCGCCATGTTAAACGCATGCGTAATTATTAATTAGTTAGTTAACATAAATTTGATTACTGTCAAAATATCAAATGTGTATCTTATCGACTATATTCTAATGTACTTAAACGAGCATTACAATTGTAAAATTAATGTAGCAACCAGAAAATAAATAAAGTATATAATTTATGTGCAATTCTTGCATGGGATTTAACACCTGCGTAATTTGCCACATCAAATTTTCATTGATTCTTATTATTTATCATACTGTATGTGTTAAGATCTACACTGCGCCCTCTGGGAGTGAATTGGTAAAGTTATTCTCTACAGTTTCATATGGTTTACTGTGAATTCCCCTCTTCTGAATTTTGTCTTCTTTTTGCACGTATCTCACTTCATCTTCAGCTCTTTACTTTACTCCTTACACTCTTGTGCGATGTTTGTGTACAGCTGTACTGCGAATGGATTAGTTGCGTGGCACAGACCGAAATCGTAGGTTGAGATTTACGTGCGCCGGCAATTTATGTCTTCACTTAAAAAATCCGTACAATGCACGCTGATGCGTGTTTATAACATTTGTCACGTTTTGCGGATGTAAACTCTCCTAAAAATACTCGAAATACACCGAAGAATCTTGTTTATACATCAATTTATTTATATTTAGTTTAGTTAACTGTTTTCAACTGGGTTTTGTTGCATTTTTGAGAGATTAAACATGCAGGTGCAACATTTATTATTACTTTTCTCGGTGAGTATATTCCGTCGAAATAAATACAACCATACTAAATTTATTTATATTTTAATTTTAGATTTGTGTACAACTTGCTCTTCCTATCATTGCCAAAAATGGCAAATCTCCAGTTATTGACAACATTAGTGACCACAAAGATTATAAGAAGCTGTTACGAACCAAGAATAATGTTTTAATTCTCTTCACAAGCAATCAGAAGCAAAGTGCAGATATTATCAAAGTATTTCGGGAAACAGCTGCTGCTATCAAAGGATTGGGCACAATGGTGTTTATTGATTGTTCAGGGTATGTAACAATTAATAATTGATCCATTTATTCTTATTGACACAAATATTTGTTTTGTTTGCAGTGATTCTAAGAAAATGTGTAAAAACTTAAAGTGAATCCAGAACCACATATAATCAAACACTACAAAGATGGAGAATTTAATAAAGACTATGATAGAAGAGATACAGTTAGTTCAATGGTGAACTTCATGAGAGATCCAACTGGTGACATTCCATGGGAGGAGGATCCTCTAGCATCACAAGTTCACCATATATCAGATGCCACTGTAAGTGTTTCACAATTTATTTTTATTTAATTTTAGTAGTCTTTGCTTGTCTATTTTTGGCATATTGTTCATTGTCACATTGAAAACACATCAGCAAAATTCAACTTAAATCTTTCTAGTGCAAAATTTTTTATGATAATCATCAAGAATTATTTTGGATTTGTGCAATTTTTTGTGAGATTTTTCATTGAATAGAAAGATCGGTTCAAGATGTTATGGGTAGCCATCTAGAATTTTATGTATGAAAATTTTATTTAATTATTGTGTTGTGTATTATTTTAGTCGTTGGCGAAATTTCTCCGAAGAGAATCGAAACCTATCATGATAATGTTCTACGCGCCATGGTGCGGGTTTTGCAAAACATTGAAACCTGAATATGCGGACGCTGCCAGCGAGCTGCAAGGCATTGGAATTTTAGCAGCGATTGATGTCAACCGGCCGGAAAATACAATCGTGAGGTCACAGTACAACATCACCGGATTTCCGACACTATTATATTACGAGTAAGTTTATTAGAATTTAATATTATATTATTTACTATATAAAAATATTACTTTCAGGCACGGCGTTTTGAAATACACGTATGAGGGTGACAATACAAAGAAAGCGATCGTTAGCTTTATGAATGACCCACAACCGACTGTGAAGATCAAGGAACCCGAATGGTCTGACACTGATAGCGAAGTTGTGCATTTGACGTCGACCAGTTTTGAGCCAGTGCTCAAAGAGGAAGCTTCGGTTTTGGTGATGTTTTATGCTCCTTGGTGTGGACACTGCAAGAGAATGAAGCCAGAGTATGAAGCTGCGGCTGCACAATTAAAGCGTGATGGGGTAAGATTAAAAAAAAAAAATACAATTTTGTTTGTTAACTTGTTATTTATAGATTCCTGGAATGTTGGCTGCATTAGACGCGACAAAAGAACAATCAGTTGCGTCACAGTTCAAGGTGAAAGGCTACCCGACAGTGAAATACTTCAGCTACGGCGAAGAAAAGTTTGATGTGAATGTCCGCGACGCACCTAAACTAGTGGCGTTCATGACGGATCCATCGGAGCCACCAGCGCCGCCACCACCCGAGATTCCATGGTCTGAAGAACCCGGAAACGTCGTGCATTTGGACGAAAATAGTTTCAAACCGTTTTTGAAGAAAAAGAAGCATGTGCTGGTCATTTTCTACACACCATGGTGCGGGCATTGTAAAAAAACAAAACCTGAATTCAGCAAAGCCGCCAATAAGTTCGTTGACGATCCAAAGGTAGAATTTGCCGCTGTCGACTGCACTACAAGCTCAGCACTATGCCACGCCAACGACGTGAAAGGATATCCAACGATTAAATATTTCAGTTATTACTCAAAGCGAGTGGTACAATATCGCGGTGGACGCACAACCGAAGAGTTTGTTAAATTCATGATTGATCCTGAGGCGGGTACTGGTGCTCCACCAGCGCTTCCACCTGGCGCTTCATGGGGTGAAATAAAAGGTGTGCTACATCTTACTGATAATACATTTAGCAAGTCGATCAGCACGAAAGAACCTGTGCTTGTCATGTTCTACGCACCGTGGTGTGGTCACTGTAAACGCATGAAACCTGATTACACCAAGGCGGCTGAGGAGTTGGGTAATGAAGGCGCCACTTGCAAAATGGCGATGGTGGATTGCACGCAGAATCCGGAAGTTACGGAAACCTATGGGATCAACGGATTTCCGACGATTAAACTGTTCATGAATGGTAAGTATGTGGAGGATTATCATGGGTCGAGGACGACTGATGATTTGAAGAGTTTTATGAAGCGCATTGCGGTGGCGCCCAGGACGGAACTCTAAGAGTAAACTTAAATTGATGTTAATTTTATATGCTGAAATTTTCAATTCCAAACTCATACATTCTATTACTACACTAGCAGCAATGGAAAAAAGTGTCATGTTGTATGTTTATTGTTTCTATAATGCAGAAAATTGTCTCATTCTGATTCGTGAAGAATTAGATTCTATCTGCTGTATGAAATATGTACAAATTCTTGAAGTGAGTTTTATTGTCAAATAAATATTACACACATTAAATCATTACATATGTAATGTACCTGGTAAATTTGAATGCTGGTTTTATGTTTTAATCAACAAATTCACAATTGATAATCAATGTCCGTAAGGTGCTGTACTCTTACGGATGTTTTTGTAACCAGTGTGTAATAAGGTAATATTACACGTTATTTCCCGATGTTAGTCGATGTTTACAATTTGACATGAAGGTCACAAATCGGTCGCAGTAGTCGTAGATGTCAAACAAAATCTATGGTTGACAATTTCTTAAAATATTGATAACAGACTATCATTTGTTTGTCGTTCGATGAGCACCTACAAGATATTACGAATTATAGTTTAAAACGAGGCCTAATTTGGTTCTTGTTCCATACAGTAATGTGCCATTGTTCACAATGTCGAAGAAAGGCACAATTGAAGTGTTTCAAACAAAAATATCCCGAAATGATCGATTTGCACAGATGTCCCATCAGGAGAAGCTGATCGAGCAGAAGAAGCGCGAAATTCAGGCGAAATTGGAACAAAAAAAGACCGCGAAGGATACGGAGAGTTCGAAAAGCCGGCCCAAAAGTACAGCTGTATCATGCAAAAGGTAATAAAAACAACACAATACCCATTTGTCCGACTCCATATTTGTATTTAAATATGTAATTTACAGTCCAGTTAAGGCAGCTATTGATAAGGAGAAACACGATAAGAAGGCTTTCAACTTTAATACATTCTCAAATGATGGCAGTTTTCTGAACCAATTCAAGCAGTTGAAGGAGAAGAAACTAGATCATAAGATAAAGTTCAGTAACAAACAAGGAAGTGGATGGTAAGCCAGACAGCATGTGTTTGTTTTGTTTTCATATCCATATCCATAAAATGCCTTATCAGTACATTGATTACAACTTGTTTGGGTTTTCAAGTCAGTGTAAACTAGTTTAACAATCATATCACACTTATATTACAGTGATGGTGACAGAAGTGATAGAAACAATAAAAATAAATGGAAGAAGGATAACATGAGTTCTCCACCAGTGTCCAAGAAGTCAAAACCGTCGCGATTCAACACCGAGAAGATGCCCGCATTCGAACCAAAGATTAATATAAATGCAAGTTATAGTAATCTTATAAGTCAGCCATCATTCGAGCCGGCGATGGTAACTGCGCAGGACGTAACCGGCCAGCCACTGCTCAAGAATCTAGTCTCACCGCTCATGATGAGCGTGCCGCCACCGCAGCTGCAGTTGATCCCAACCGAGCTGACCGTCGACATGTGCCCGACGACGATGATAACTACCGTAGCCTTACCGCCCCAATCAGCTGTGGTAGCTGTTCCTGAGAATACTATCATAACTGTCCCACCGCCATGTTTACCTCCCTTGGAGTTAACGAATATTCCGCCTCCGAATCAATTACAGATCCATAACATACCTCAACCGGAACCTATGAATACTCTTTCTATCCCACCACCTGCGCCGTTACAAGTGCAGAATATTCCACCACCGTCCCCGATCCAATTGAACGAGATACCTAATCCTAAACCATTGGATTTACTCAATATTCCCACACCAAATGAGGAGCCTGATGCGGAATTCATCAAAAATGTCCCTCCGCCGAACAAATCAGTCCCGCCGCCTAATCTTACTGTAGCTGCTGATAATGTACCTACTTGTCTCCCGCCGCCTAATATTATGCCGCCGACGTCAATGCCACCCCCGCAACAAGGCGGCGGCTTGAGTATACTCGTCGCGCAGGTGCAGCAGGTGCCATCGGTGGTGCAAGTGCAATTATCTGCTGCATCACTACAGCAATTACCACCGCCACCGATTGTGACGCAGCCGATTATGAATTCTATTCCGTCACTTATGGCGCAGCCTATAATGCCGCCCCCGCCTGCGATGGGTATCGTACCGCCGCCGCAGATAAACGTACCGCCACCTAGTCTTATGCAACAAGCGCAAATTCAACTACCACCGCCCGGATTCAATCAGCAGCCATTAATCCCTGTCAACGTGCCACCGCCACAACTAGCCATCAACAAGGACCTCAATATAAATTCAGGTAATTGCATATTCGGTGTGAGTTGTTTCTGTACGTCATAATGTCGAGCAAGGTTTGTATGCAATGATGTGTGGGGGTTGGAAATTTTAAATTGAACACGACATCAAATACGGAAGTATTTGAATATGGTTTCTTTTTAGGAGTCTAGGATTGTGCATCAGTGATATTCATCATTTTTATTGTCTTTGAAAGTGCGTGGAAATTTTTCATGTTTGTTTCCTTTATATCTCAGATTGCGTTTTAAAATTTCCACGCATCGTTCTGTTTTTACGCTAGGTTTGCATTAATCATTGAAACATGCTGGTTTTCTGTCGCTGATAATTCGAAATAAGTAATTCTCTGGTAGTTGTAAGATTTAGCTTCAACAATGGTGCAATTAACAGCTGAATATTGAAGATTGTTTGGTGGAATTTTGCACGGATGATCAGTGAACCGATTAAATATGCATGGCGAATTTGGCCGCCGGCGCGTGCCAATATATATACCAGTATGTTTTAATTTGTGCGAGCCTAGCTGTGTTTACGCCACAGGTGAACACGCTTAGTGACGGTTTTGTGAAGTGTTTCCCTCAGGTTCAGGCGATTACGAGGCGATGGCGTCTCTGGGACGCATGGTGGCACAGTGTGGACCAGGCATCGAGGACGTCGTCCGCCAGCGCAAAATTCAAGATCCCAGTCTGTGGTATGCAGGCCTAGTTCCTACACTTCCGCAGCTCAGCGCTGTCTATTTATTTATTTCTCTCAAAATCTCTCATATCAGTTCAGTCACTCATACTCAAGTCACCAAAGTCACCACAAAACGAATGAAACAAAGTTAACAAATGCAGAACGCGAGCACCAACAATCAAACGCCCCTGGGGGGAAAAAGTTTAGCTATCGCTCGAATCGGCGCAAACTTTCAACACAACACGAAAGCATGCGACGATGCGACGAATAGTACTCGGAAATTTAACACGTAATGTTTCGTTACCAGCAAATAATATGTGGTTCGTGTTTGTTATGTTTGATGTTTTGGCCGATCTTGAAAGTTGATTGTTTTTCGCTCGTGAGTGTTGGTAGAAAATCGAAAAAAGTAGCAAGTACAAGAACGAAGCTCCCAAATAAAATCCGCATACGCTGCCGGCGTATTGGTGCGCGACAAATGTTTGCCTCTACGTGCGTGTTGTAGGTTTCTGTACGATAAGACCTCTCCAGCGTATCGCCAGTATCAGCAGCTCGTGGAGCAGTTCAAGGCCGAGATGTCCGCGGGGAGCGAGGGTGGTCAACAGCGCTCCGATCAGGAGGACTATAAACCAGAGGAGATTTACGAATCAGACGCACTCGGTGATGATTGCGACATGAATACGACGCATGAAAGTACAGCGTTTTCGAATAAACGGAAAAGGAGAAGTCGCTGGGGTGATAAAGTTGAAGGACCACCGCCTCCGCCGGTTCTTCAAACGACAATACCAGCGCCAATTTTACCTCCAAGTTCTACCGGTAGGAGTTTTTAACTTTTTCTGTAATCTTTTAAAATATTGTTATTTTAATTTAAAATTAGGTGTTATGTTGTCTAAAATAACAAGAAATGATGCCGGTTTCATTGCGTACGTGCGTTCCACCTATGGTGGTACGAATTTGAACGAAGAAACATGGAAGAAAGCCGAGGATAATTATAAAGTACATCTTGTTTATCAAGAAATGCTTAAAAGAAACAAGATTTAGAGCGTCTGCAGAGATCCGGTCGCAATAAATACGAATATGATTCGGATGAAGAAGTCGAAGGTGGCACTTGGGAGCATAAACAGCGAGAGAAAGAAATGCAAACCACACAAAATTGGGCGCATGATTTAACGCGTGATGCAGATGGTAAACATCACATCGGCGATTTTTTACCTCCCGAAGAGTTTCGTAAACTTCTTCAGAAAACAAGCACTGGCGATAGTGCTGATCCTTCAGACTATTCAGAACACAAGCTCGGAGAAGAAAATAAAGGGTTTAAAATGTTGCAAAAGTTAGGCTGGAGCGAAGGTAAAGGTTTGGGAACAACAGAAAAAGGAATATTGGAACCAATAAATAAGTGAGTAATGGGTTGCATAAAATTGGCGAGTATATTTAATTGTGTTTGCTTGTTTTTGTTTTATTGCTATTATTAGAGGTTTTGTAAGTCGCGACGGACAAGGCTTGGGTAATCAAGGCGATGTGCCAGATGGGAACAGCGCTGAAGACGAGTACGACGCCTACAGGAAGCGAATGATGTTGGCGTACAAATTCCGGCCGAACCCACTGGTAATTATCCAATTATCCGCAAACACTTTAACGAGTTAACGTTTAAATTCACATAATACAATTCGTCGATATGTCGTCGCGTTTCTTTGTTTCAGAATAATCCCCGGCGAGCATATTACTGAACAAGTAAACGCACCCACCAGCAAATATACTTGTCAATTGAATAATGACTTTCATGATGATGAATATTATGCTTTTGTTTTTTCATCGTTTATTTCGAAACACAACCTGAGATCAAATGCAGCAGACAATTGTATAAATATTAGCGCTTCTAATGACCACTTGAGGCTAATATTGAATAATCAAGGCTTACAGTTTGTAGATGGATTTAATTTTAAATGCACTTTGTGTGTTCTGTTTTTGTGTACATATTTCTCTTGAGATACGAGTAGTAAACTTAGTTTGGCGAGAATGGAAACGCAGTGAGACAAAGAGATATAATTGATGCGTTGAAAATTAAGAGAAGCGACTAGCTTTTGGATGCTATTTGTTAATTAAGTTGTAATTAGCAACTTAAATGAATGTGTAAATAAATTATTGATTGATTTTCTTATATTCGACTGGATATAAATTTTAAAAGTAGAAAAATTTGTTATTTATGAGTTTTAGGGGCGCGAAGTGAATTATTAACCATCGTTTGGGTTCTGTTCAGAAAAATACCGGAAATATTTGGCTAAAATTATGTTGTGTAATAATATTTAACATTTTAAATGATTGGACGCCCACGGTAAGTCGTGGAACTGACCATCTGCTCGGATTTTGGAAGTAAATCGGCTGCGATATATTTTATGAACGAAATTTCGAAATCAAATTGAAAGACATCAATAAAACCACGCGTGAACGCACGTATGAATGAAATTCTTCATGTAAGCACCACGCAGGATGAAGAAACAAATTATGACATTCAAGGTAGAGTATTTATGTTTTATTTCTTGCACAGCCAGATGTGTTTATGAATGAACATTTGTATTAATGGCGCCGATGAACAAAGAATCCCTGAGATACAAGAACATCTTATGATTGATACTTGTGAAAATAGCAATCAATTACAGTTATGCGTTTAGTAATTACGCGCATGTATTACATGATTTATTGAATAATAATGGCTCATTTGCTGCCATTTTGTTTGCTCACTGTAATAGTCCAAAGACACAAAGCTAAATGCAAAAATTGCATCCTGCGTATGCAATTAAAATGCTCAGCACACATTTTGTCGTGAGGAAACGAGGTCGAGTGATATTCTTGTTGAAAACTATCCAGCGCGTACTCGTAACACTTTGCTAACGAAATGGAAATGAAAATAATTTCGTTCACCTGTCCACCTATTCGCGCCGCCCATGCACGCAACTTTGTATATCGTAAGTGTGAGCAAAGCAATGAAACGCGACGATTTCGAATGACTTTAAACATTTCACAATGAATCTACCTACCTGCTGCGTGCTGCGCAAACAATATGCATATAGTATGCAAATGCGCTTGTTAATTAACACTTAGCCTCATAAGGGCTACTGAACATTAGATGCATACTTAATTGTTTATTTAAATAGAAGCATGTAGGGAAAAAATGTTTTATTTTACGATGTGAAAATAATGTTTTCTTTTTTTTTGTAGTATGAGAGGATAGAAAGTAATAACCGCAAGCTATTCAAATAAGTTTATGTGTAGCTCATGTTTACAACCGATTCGAATTGGAAGCCCGTAATAGCTGCGGCAATTGCACACATTTTCCGCTGGCCGGCGATAAACTTCACAACGTCAACTAAGAAGCGTGCATTTTGCTTTCGGGCAAGGTAAAATCTAAACGTTCAAGAGGTTTAAAGGCTACACTTGTACGGATTCTCTTCTACGCACGAGTAATAATCGTTTTGTATGTGATACGCGTTGTTGTCGCGGAAGAGAAAAATCAAATCATATACAAGCAGTACTCAAACATTTCTCTCAATATTTTGTACAAAAATCGACTGTTTTTGCACATAAAATTTTCTCATTTTTTTATTTTTACAATACAGCGCCATTTTACCACAAATTCCATCAATTTTGAGCGTCACTGATCTAATAAACGTCTGCAAATTATGTTACATTGGAGGCTTTATAAACATTCTGTAATATGATGTAAAACGACGTTTTGTCGCCGCCGACGGTTGCAATTTCATGCCATTCGCTCCCCGTTGGTCAATTCTTCCATGACCATGCTATCCATGATCATACCGAGCGCATTCACATGCCTCACCGATATTTATTTTCCAACCGACTTGTGATTTCTTGAACGGAACGGTTCACTCACATTTGCTAGCGCTAAGAATTTATTTATGAATATTTTAATTTTAATCTGGACGCCATGTGGATCGGTGATGCATGGGTGTTGGGTTGCGCAATGGTGACTCACGTCCTTCGCATATTGCATGGAGAAAAACGCCGGTCGCAAACTCGAGAAATTTCTCTCGAGTCGACACCTTTATGATTTTTTTCCTCTTTTAATTAACGTTTAAACAATCTATAAGTCTCACCTACGCTTTGTAATGCGTCATTTTGCTATAACTTATTGTGTCTAGGGAAACATTTATAGTTTATGCATTTATTGGATAAGTTTTTCTATGCAAAAATCGTAGAAATGCTCCAAAATAATGCTAGATTGATCATACAACATTTTGTTTGGTAGTAGTAGTGAGTGTGCATTGCTTACAGCGATTGTGTTATAACATTTATACTTGTGTCCGTGTGAGTTCATTTGCAACAAACATGATGCACCAGTATAAGTTTCTTTCATGACCCTAGATGGCGCTAATATACACATTTGTATTAAATCCGAAGTAGAGTTATCACAACGCTTGTTTACTTGTATCAGTTTGGTTGCATTCAGGTACGTGCGAACTAGTGCTACGTTCAGCTTGTTTGTTTTTATCGGTGAGATGTTTGTTTTTGTTTTTTATTATTTCACTCGTGTCGTTTATATTTGCATGCTGTATTCCAAATACTTGTATTGCATTCTTAAATATTCTCCTATGAAAATCTTAAATTATTATTAAGATTAATGCGCATTCTAATTTATGTCTTTATGATAAGGTTGAACGTCGCAGACGCCATTGCTTGTTAATTTCGCATAAATCACTTTTAGCACATAACGTAATCAATTTCATCATTATCCGTCGCCATAAACACAGCAGCGATTTATTTTGCGCCTAATTTGAGTTTAGATTCGATTCGCCATTCCCAATTAGTAATAATATTTATCTTATGCCAGTAGGTAGGATAATATTTACACTGGATGCTTAATAAATAGTGCGTTGTGCAAGCGCGACTATACAGTTGCAGTAATGACATTTTCCGTTTAAGCGACGTGCCAAAAATGGCGTACTGGGCATTATTACGCATTTCTGCATGCATAGTTTATATAGATTTCAGATAGTTGAGGACATTGAGGTGGCTTTTATCTCTCGCCGCAAATGCATTCGTTTGGAATTAATATTTTAATAAATATTTATCACCGCTTATCAGGTTTCATGCCAAATTCAAGAGAAATGCAAGTTGACATTTACTTGTTATGGGTAGAAATTGGAGTAAATATACCGCACCCAGTGGTTTATACTTTTAGTATTAAATTAAACAATAAATTATATAATATAAACAATATTTTTATTAAATATTGCATTATTGACTTGACATTAAAGTCCAGAAGAGAAACAATTATGATATTCTTTAAATGGCATCTTATTATGTAAAAGAATAATATTTTATAAGTGCTCATATAAATATTACATCAATTATTTCGCAGTAAAAACAAAACATTAATAGTTATAATAAATTGATTGTAATCTATTCTATTTTTCATATTTGTAGTAACATTAATTTAAATTTTAATATTGCTGCTCATAAAATTAACGTACATAATGTCAACTGCTGATCGCATCAAATGTGACCAACAGGCCAGCAGTGATTGCATGCTCAAAGTGCCCTTAAATGGATTTCCATCTGGTCGCGTTCATTGAATCTTGTGACTTGTGCGAGTTATGCGTGGATAGGTTTTGATTTATTTATTGCTCGCGTTGGACGATTAATAAATTGAATGCGAATTTCCCACGTTGTATGAAAACAAACAAAAACAAATAAACCTGCAATTGCAAATATTTAATATCTGTACAATAATGTGACATTTTCTTAAAAATTTATAGAAAACCGTGGTGGAATAACATGCATTGCATCGACTTCTGTTACGTCTAGTCGAATTTGTTTCACGTGGGTTTCTTGTCCGGTTGTCGAGATGTCGAGGCATATGACGCAGTGACGCTTTACAAAATGCGTCGGCGTAAAACACGGCGCCGAATGGCTCCGCGTTTCGATATTCAATAACGCCTATTTCATGCAATTTCCCGTAATTAACTTCACGTCTGCAGCATTCACAACTTCATTCGTGACTGGTATGTACTTAAACCGCAACAATTCATAAAGTCAGTTCGATAATTTATCGAAAAAGGAAATAGAAGTCACTTTTCGACGTAATTTAATGATGAACAATTTATAATATAAAAAAATCGTTAGTTCGATGAGTAATCTCAATTTCTATTACATTTGCAGCATTTATATTTGAATATTAGTGTGTATTAGTCATCAGTTGCTAAATTGTACAACGTGTAATTACTACAACTATGGTTGTGAACAACTAACGCGGCTTATGTGGATGTAGAGTACAAAGTATTGTTTAAAAATTAACTGCTTGGAGATACGAATGAACGAGTTTGAAGAGACTGGAAGAGAAAGAAACCATCAAGTATACACGTACGAGTAGAGCATGTAGGTAGGCTGAGCGAGGACGTTTGTTTTTCTGTCATAAACGTGTTATACAATGAATAAAATAACCATAGAGTTCACTGAAATGCAGATTTAAGAGGGCAATAGTAAAGTTGATGGTCACATCATCAGAATATATTGATATATCTATTTATTTATAATTATTGACGTTATATAGGGGAAGGTAGCATAATTTGGACCAGCGCCTAAGTTGGACCACCACGATATCCGCGGACTGTTGAAGTTTATGCAAAAATTGAATGGCCCCTTGTTTTACTCGTATTTATAAACAATTAATGCAACTATTTGGGTTAAAACTTGCCGCGTGCTTTCGTCGTGACAACAACTTCGTGTATCATTGATTATCAAATCTATTATAACGAGGTAAGTGCAAGAGCTGTCAAGCCGTTAAAACGTTAGTTTTACCGATTATTATTTTATCATCAGAAAGCTTCTTTATTTATCTATAATTTACAGTATTAATTTTGAGAGATTATGTTATATTAAGATTGTTGTTGATCATTATATATAAATTCTTCAAGTTGCCCAAGTTGGACCGAAGACAGACACCGGAGTTTTACAGGGAAAACGTATATCATTTTTTCGACCTCCTAGAAAAGCTTGTGGACGAGCACAAATCTTCGAAATGATCCACTGTATGAAATGCCGCACTTTGGTTTATACAAAATGTGCTTGTGTTACAGCTAAAACTAAAATTTACTATTGTGTCAATTGCCGTTAAAAAAGCATGGTCCAATTTAGGAAACCGCGCGGTCCAATTTAGGAAACCGGTTTCTTAATTTGGACCAAAAACACAATTTTTTTAAATTGAAATTTGAGGGGTATAAATATAATTTTTACTTAAACCAAAAATATCATTTTGTTGGTAAGCCTTGTGAGTTACTTTTCCGCTACTTAATTTTTATTGACAGTTTATATGTGGCTCTATAAATCAAAAAATATAAAAATGGTCCAAATATGGCTACTTTCCCCTAATTAGTTAAGTTGCACTTATTTACATTAAATTAGTTTCTTAAGTTATTTTTTCAGTGAAGTTAGGCAACTTATGCAACTTTTAACCTAAAAATAAAGCGGTGGGTATGATATAATATAAAAATGAGTCACAAAATCTGTTGGTAAGCGCATAACTCAACAACGCCTAGACCAATTTGGCCAATTCTTTTTTTTAAATGTTTGTTAAAGTCCAAGGATGGTTTTTAAGGCGATAAAACTTCGAATAATTGCCGGAAAAAACCCAAAGACAGCCCTTTTCTATATGATAAAAGTTAGCATTGAGATTCAATCATAGTTATAGTTAAATAGTCGACTCCGAAATGGCGCGCTGAAGTGCATTATTAGCAATTCTTTATATAATTAATTTCTTTAAAATAAAATTGCGAATCTTATTGATAGAATTGACTAGAACAAGGGAGTAAAAACGAATTACATTTTTATTGAACACTACCGGGCCGAAGTCGCGAGCAAAAGCTAGTTTTATCATAAATGCAAAATCCGTAGCTTGATGATAAATAATATTTTCAATTTAATGAAAGTTTCTACCAGCACACACCTTCTCTACATGCCAAATAAATAAAATTACTTAATAATTACATCTAATTAATATATGGCTTCAATTACACACACAACTACTACATAATTAACTGCTAACCAGATATTTAATATTCCGATCATGTTATGAACTAAATTTCAAACACATTCGTTCCATACTTTATCTCCAACAAAATATTCCATCTAATTAAATTCATATAGATGTTTAGAATGTGGCTGCATGTGTAAAGCTCTTTGTGCAATTCTCGTATTCGCTCTCAATTGAGTGAGTCGTGCCACATGTTTTAATAAACGCTTTAATGACCCTTTAATGCGTTGTAACTTGTAGCGAACATCGGCAGAGAATTCACAGACCTCCATGGATATGCAATGCAGATGCGCGCATCGCCAACAGTTTCTTGCGATGTTTCCTCATTATTAACTCGCTTTTACATACGTGACTAATTTGATAATCAGTGCAATTATAATATTACGCTAACTAATGATATGCAGGATATGTACGAGAGATTTACATTACTCTTTAGTACCTAATCGTATAATCTATAATATAAAAATAAATCGCAAAATCTGTTGGTACGCGCATAACTCAACAACGCCTAGAACAATTTGGCCAATTCTTTTTTTCAAATGTTCGTTAAAGTCCAAGGAAGGTTTTTACGGCGAGAAAAACTGAATAATTGCCGGGAAAACTCTGAAGACGGCCTTTTTCTATAGGATAAAATTTGGCATTGAGATTCAATCATAGTTATAGTTAAATAGTTGAATCCGAGATGGCGCGCTAACGTGCATTATTAGCAATTCTTTATATAATTCATTTCTCTAAAATAAATTTGCGAATCTTATTGATATAATTGACACATAAAGCTAGTTTTATATATTTTTTAGTTTTTTACGGAATTAGTCGTTTGAAACATGCCGAAAAGTAATTAGTAGAATGCCATTTCATCGACATGTGTTTCGTCCATCCTTGAGTGATTTCTCAGTCTCAGTTTCAGTCTCAGTGGAAGTAAGTAAGTATTCAGAATGAGTTGTACGTGTTGAATGTATGATAAATGCTTCCTACACTCGCCGCTCTCGACTTTTTGTCCGTATCTACGTGTTGGTTAATATGCTTCGTTTCACTATGTGTGTTGCTATTTTTTCGTTTTACCACGATCGTATCAAACGGCAATTTGCATTTTTACGCCCCTGATCTTTTGCCTTTTTCTATAGGCATGCGGTTACAAAACGCGCGCGGTGTCGCCATAAAAGTGCAAACGGAACGACGTTTCTAAATATGTGGGGTACGCGACGTGGGCAAGGGTTTTGGCGATGACTGCGAAGGTGTTTTAATCGACGAATAACAAGCGGACAAATAACACCGAACGCAAAAAGCCAGCATAAACGTACATGACAAACGATTATCTCACGGTTGCTTAAGATAAACGATCAGATAAACAATAATTCACGAAATTGGATTATTTTTTAGCCTAAAATAACAATTTTATTACTAAATCTGCTTTAAAAACGTCAGAAAATAAAATTTATACATTTTAAACCTCTGGTACTAAATTTCTTTTTGACTTCATCGATTTATCCGCTTCAAAACATAATTAAACAATTAAGCAAGTTAAGTAAATAATTGTTTAAACAACCGTTACGTCTCTAGCCCAAGTCGAATCTACAACGCGTTAAATTGTTCAGCTTTTTTTAAAATACACACTTGAATGACACTAAGCCACGAAGAATGGAGCGAATCGCTTGATAATTGTCGAATTGCCCAATTTCTTAATTAAACAATGAAGCGCGCGCTTACCAACTGAAGATTAATTAAGTGATCATTCAATTAACAATGTTACAATGCGCTTGATAATTCCGCCCACGCATTGTTCAGGATTGCATTTGTTTTCGACACAACTTGCTGAACAGCTGGTCTATTGACACGAAAAACAAACAATAAATAAAACAGATGTTAGAAGTTGAAAAATTTGCTGATGAAATCGATTTTTTCAATGTATTTTTTTAATTTTTTTAAAATATGATAATAGTTTGCTTTTATTCTCACAGATGGCGCTGCAATGTCTATTTGCAAATATTTTGTTTTATATTTTGCGTGTATGATTTTAAGAAGTTATTCAAAGATTAAAAATTATGAGATAAATGAAAACATTTTTAATCTTTTCGCGTAATTTTTTGCTTTACGTAATAAACTTCTAAAATTAGCCAAAATGTGAGTATTTTTGGCCTAGTTTTATGTGGTCGTTGTTTAACCGGCCCACTTGAATAGTAAAATTCGAATAAAGTAAGCAAGAATCGTAAACGTTCGACTGGAACGCAATTACTCGCCGCCATTTGACGTCGCGTCCTGCACATGCACAATAACGGCATTGTGTTTTTCGACTGCCGGCGCTCTCAAACGAAGCAAAGACGACGCTATAAATATGAATTATGCATGTGGTGAGGTGTGCGAGGCGCGCTAGAAAATTAATGTGCGTCGCTCTGCGACGGCGAGAGGAAGTGATTTTAATAAATTTTTAGTTTTATCGTTTTTCAATCGCATTGAAGCCGACCGTGAAGAAAACTCACTCGAATCCATACAGGTGTATGTGCCTATTCTGCTTATTTATAGCGGACTCATATATTTTATTGGTTTTAGATTGGAATATCTGCGAAATGTACATTGTATGATCAACATTTGAGGGCAACACTTCACAAATTAGTTCTGCTTTGTTCCAGAAAAAGAAAAACTTGAAAGTTTTGAAAAACGTGCTATAACCGCACACCTGTTGAATTAGGTATACTTATCATTAGAAACATGGTTGAAAGCCTTTTTTATTTCTTTCAATGCGATGCACACATAAAGTAATGCCAATAGTTATCACTTACCATCTGTGACGAATAAATAATACATTGCTTATTGTAAGTACAAACAGATTTTAATATGTTTATCTTCTGCATCATTCAATTGAATATAGAAATTATGCAATCGACAATTTTGCAATAAACTGTCGTCAGAGATGCGCTGAAGGATACGGCGTGTGCATTTGGCTTTGGTGGCACCGGCAGCCATAAAACGGATGGTGGATATTGAACATGGACACACACATCGTTTGTCGGTTCTAATGCGTCTCGCACGATGAATTTTATGAAACTGTGCTTGTATCAAGTTTTCTCAACGCACTTAAACGCAGGCATTATTAAAAATTTAAAAAATTTAAATTTTAGTAAAAATTTTCAAATGAAAATTTAAAGAGTTTTTGTTTATATTTGTATTAATCGTGTGTTAAGCGAATCAAATCATGAATATCACCCACTCTGTCAATTATAGTGAAATACGAGTGTTTGAGTTTTACCCTTTAATAATACAACCCCTATGATATAGTAGAAGTTAGTTGGTGATTCTTTGACATGCAATGCCCTTATAATTACCGAATAACACTATCACACCATCATACGAGTCACTGATGTTCATACATTATACGTTTTATTAATGTGTGTGTTTTCAAATGAACACGAATCAAACGATTCATGAGGGTGGATTTACCGATTGGCAATAAGTAAGTGTTTAGAGGGCTTTGAATCTAAAATTAAATAAGGGTAGGAGTTTAGTTGTGTGGTAGATGTCATAGAAGTCAGTTGTGTGTTTAATGTAGTGTTAAATTCATTTTTCTAAAAGTTTTTAAAAGTTGTTGTGTAAAATGGTGTGAATGTAGACAACCAACAATACTTACATGCTTGTAATACTCTATAATGTCTATAAACAGTTATTTAAATTAAGTTAATATTATAAAAATGGTTTTAAATCATTTTTTTTAATTAATATCAATTTTTGTGAATTTTTGCTGTTATTTGAAATTTATTTACTTTTTGAGTGTGTTGCCAAGCAGTAAGAGCGTAAGTAAACCGCGCATGCGCACCGCAAAATCCAAAATGGAAGCAACAGCAGCACATAAACGCAGCCATGTTCCGTCCCACTAACACAAACACGCGCAGCGTTTGCTTGCGTTGTGCTTAACATCGTCGGCCAGTCGCAGGCGCTCCTACACGTTTGCGCCTTTTCTCGGTGTGTCTCTCGCCTGACCACGTCGGGGGTCTGCCTACACGACTCTCAAGCATCGCGCGCAGCATCGTCTTTTCTTTGTCTCGCGCAGCAGCAAATCCAGCAGCCCACGGGAAAGAACGCACTGCGCCGCGCCGACTTAACCCACAGCGGTGTGCGCGCACGAGTGTTGGTGTCGCGTCCGAAACCGTCGTCGGCATACCGATCATACTCCGCGGCTCCCGCGCGCGCACAACTTTAGTCGGCTTCGAGAGACGCAAGCGAGCAAGCGGTCTGCGCACGATAGTCAAGTCGCTTGCAACAGAATTCTATAAAAAAAGAGACGCGCGCCGCGCCGCGAGACACCAGCATCCCTAGTGCCGGAGAAGCGGGTATTGCAGTAGTAGTAGACGAATTGCCTGATCGTCGTGTGCATCGCGCATCCATGTGAAACAAAACGGACGGCCAATTGCACGACGATCCGACGACTAATTCCAGTGGTGGATTATCGCCGTGGACGAGACGCTCTCTCGCACGACGGGGTTGCCCATCAGCAACCACACAGACCGTAATTTAGCGACGAGCCGAGAACGCGACAGATAAAAAGATGTGCGACCAGACGCAGCAGCCGCAGCCCAATCAGGCGACCACGCAGAGCATAGCGGACTATTTAGCGCAATTACTCAAGGATAGGAAGCAACTCGCCGCTTTTCCCAATGTCTTTCTTCACGTGGAGCGTCTACTCGATGAAGGTAAGCAAAAGAAATTCACATTACTTAAACGCAGATGACTTAAATCATCATCTCATATTCTATACGTTGTGTTCGTGTTGAGCGAGATCAGCGCAGCGCGTTTTTAACTTTTCGACTTGTTTACTCGGTCAAAACAACATGCGCGTTGGCCAGGCCCCGCTCCACACATTCACACACATTCGCAAAAATGCTTCGGTATGCAACATTCGGGCCTCCCAGCAAGGAATTTGTTTATTCTGGCGTTCGGAACGTAGTTTATCTTATAAAACAAAACAAATTGTGCACAAAACTGCCAACATTTACCCATTAACCTCTTAAAACAACCAAAAAATTATTCATATGAGTCAGTATAATACTAAACAAGCAACAAATGACTTAAATAATTTCAGCATGTCTCGTCGGTGTCTTGTAAACTTTTTGTTTCGTTTGCAACATTTTTTTAAAACTTACATTACATTGTTTTGCTTTGGTGCGGAATGTTAGCAATTACAACAGCAATTATGATCATTCGATAGCCTTCACCGAAGCGTCGACGTGACTTAAGTATTGGTGTATGTGCGTGTTAAATGTTTCATTAATATCATTTGCTTGGTTCATTCATAAAATTGATTACGAATTCTATTCTCGCGTGTCTGTGTCTGTGTGCTTGTCATTGAACTTTAAATTTTAAATTTCTTCCACAAATTGTTATACAAATGATTATATTATTATTAAAATGCCAAGTTGCTGCTTGCAAACTTGCAGTTTCGACCTTTCCGACACGATGAATACTGAATATAAATATAAATAATATTGCACCTTGTGGTGTAAGAATGTGTTGTGTTACGTGCAGGTGGAGTAGGAGCACTTGTGACTTCTTTTCATGCTTATCATTCTTCTTCTTTAGACCCCAATTTTTTGTTTACCTAAAGATTCACATCCAAAAGAGTGTAGAAGACATGACAAAGACAAACATTTGAATTGTATCAATAGTGTTTCTTTTTCTTTACTTTTCAAGACTTTTAAATCAAAGTTAGGTGATAGAAGAAGAATACTAATTGTGGCGATTGTTTCACTAGTGGGATTGGTTGTGATTTGTGATTGTGGCATTTTAGTTTTGTAACATCCTGTGTTTGTCCCATTGTGCAGCTCTCAGGAGTGTGAGAACGAAGGGTCTTTATTCGCCTTCACGGTCTGAATACCGGCTCGACACACTGCTCAACTTCACCGCACACCACACACAAAAACAACACTTAACACATCTCGAGAAAAAGATGTACATATTTACCCACACACCACACATCTACCGACATTGAATTAAAAGACTCGTCATTTCCAGCCTGTGCCCACAATAGTATATCATAGTTTTATTCAGTATCTTCTGATTTCTGCTTCCTACCGCAACACTTGAGGTTTCATCACTTGTTTTGTTTTTTTACTACGGCTGGCGAAGCTAAAAGTAAAACGCTATCTAAATGCTACCATGGCTCCTTTGGAGGTAAGCCTGTTCAACGGTCGTCTCAAGTACGAAGCGCATCGGCATTTGCGCCGTTTTGAAGCGCATCAGACTGAAACGAGATTTTACTTTCGTGATCACGATTGCGGATCAGCAGGATCATGATCAAGTGATCATTAAGATGCCGTTCCCACCCTTGTATGCCTTTAATTAGTGTAACTTTTACACGCTTTGTGAATTTTAAATTCACCTCAGATTCTCTGATTATGATTCGAAGCAGGTAGGCGCCATTAGTATTTCAGTAACAATATGTGTGGGTGTCATCATTCGATTTCTTCACGGAACCGGCAATAACAACAATCGTCAGCAGTCAGGAGCGTAGCCAACCTGACCTGACAAAACCTCCGCACGAGGCGGACAGATGTGTATGATTTTCAAACATTTTACGACTGTAACAAGAAAATTCCCGAATTTCTTCACAGCCTTTGATTGTTTACTATAATAGTGTATGTCTGGCGAAAATTTGGTTGGAATTCCCGTGTAATTCATGCGTAAAAAGTGTCTTTTGCTAGCAGTTGTCCACTCGATCGGTGGCGCGGTTGCGGTCATCGTTAGCGCGCACCACGCATATACATAGCGGTCGGACAAGTCGGAACTCGGAGTGCGGCGCTTTCGAGACGAGAGGCGCTTTCCAGGCTGGCTGGCTAGTAGTCGCTGGTCGAGCACAAGTAGACTGAAGGCATTTACGTCGGCGCGGTCGGTCTCGAAACTCGAATAGCGGCGACAAAATGTCCCGTTGCGTTGGTCGCAAGACGCTTTAGCAACCACTCAACCAGCTAGCAATTTACGTGTGTACAGATTTGCTACACCATTGATCCAAATTAAAATCGTGCAATCATTAGAATTCATTCATTGACTTTGACTCAGCTGTGTAAAAACACACAGAAACACAAACAAAGTAGAACGAAGTTTTGCGTTCTTTTTTCACAAATAAATTTTGTTTCGGTCCGACTTGTGACTTTAGTCTCTTCCACGCCGACGAGAGTTGTAGTAGCGTGTCTGCATTCCAACGCATGTTGATACACGTTTTGTGCACGACGCATGAGCAGCTCATACAATGTGTCCTCACTTTTCGAATTTTGCCTTAATTTTTGTGCGCACACATTAAAGTCTACTTACTTACCCACTTTGGATAAGTTAAATTTTAATAAACGTGCAGAAAATGCGGTGAATCACATCGTATCAGTCTGGTTAGTGGTAATTCCCGTAGAAAACCAACACAAGTGATTACAAACTTGGTTCTTTGTTGTATTTAAACAATTAGCATGCTATAAAGTTGACTTCACTAACAACAAAGCAATAGTTGTTCATTGTATGCATTTAGAATATAAAAATAAAGTGTTTTGAGGTTATTTTCTGTTGTAATGCAGTTTGGGTTGTCTAGTTAGGTAAAAATGCTTTGTTATTGTATTTTATGCTTAATATTGGGCTAAAATTCAATTTTGAGTGTTATTGGGTGTCATAAATTGTATTTAACAATTGATTCTACATTTTACCCATTTACCGTGACATAATACAATATTTTTATTAATAACAAGAAAGTTTAATTAAATTAATAAGCATCTTTTGTGATTAACGTTTATAATTAATTAATATAACTACAAATTTCAATCAAGCTTATAACATATTCATAACATAGTAAAAGTTATAGTTGCAAACAAATATGTAGTATAAAATAATTTATGGCTGACCCGGATCGTAATTTCTCGTAAGTGAGATGTGTTTTTGTTCAGAAAACACTTCAGAGATTGATATTTGAAATAAAATAATACCAAAGTAGAAAGTTGAGGTTAGATTGCACTTTGATTGGCTGGGAAGCATCTCAAACGATACCAATCACCATCGAAACTTGATAAACCATTCAGGTAGCTTATTGATAAGATATCATCATAAGTAAACATGAGTATATTTATGTTTCCCAAGTCTATAATCATAAAATCGTGATGTCAAATTCCCGCACTAGCAATTTTTCGATGACGATATTTGAATCACGATGGTAATGGCCGCTGGCCGAAACATTACGTCATTCCTCCCCACAATAGACAATCTGAACAAAGTTTGCAACACTTTACAATCAAAAATTGGCCATGCATCACTCGAATCTCATACTACCACTTAACTGTGATATTTTTTTAACATTTCTGATCTGACCATCGATATTATTTTACATAAGCGTTTTGCACATGCGCGTAACGTGAGAATTACCGTCGCGGCGGGATGCCCACACGAATTACCATAGAAAACGCTTTGAAAGTCAATTGCAAAGTCTACTTGCCCGCTGTGTGGCTGCGCGGTACGCAATAAGATATCGAAGAGCAAACAACAAACGCAATTAGACGATGGTAGAACAAGCAAGAATAGGAGGCTCAAGAGAATACTCGGTTAATATTAGAACCAAACAAATCAAACACACTCGAACGTGAACCATGAAAATAGAAGTATTGGAGAAGGACTTCAATAGATAGATGTGCGCCGTGTTTAGATCAGCTTGATGGTGGAATGTAATAAGAATAACGTGTGGCGCTGCGAGCCAAATAGCAAATTGCCAATAACCAACAGCAACTATGCTATTGTCCAAGATAGGAGAATAATTTGATTGCCATTGCTTAATATATTGAATGTTTTAATTATATTTAACAATAACCACATGTTTAATTTATTAGGTTTTAATTTTTTGGTGTTAATATGAATGAAATTGGCGGTTTGTCATAAGTTTTGAATCATCCATTGTGTGTATTATGCTTAAAATATATTCTTGACAAATAAACGTCGATAAACAAAACTTTGGTGAATCATTGCGGTAGAAAAATTAAATTTGGCATAAAAAATGTGGAAAATGTTTTTTTAGTTTAAAATTAGATTTGGCCAAATCTTTGAGAAATTTATTACATATTATATACTGGGTGATAAAAAAATTTCATTTTTTTAGTTATTAAAATATGTTTTTTACGTTTTTTGTTTGACTTTAAATCATTTAAGAACAATCTGTATGACGCTTAATTAGTTTGTGCACGTGCTGGCTGTATGTGTTTTTCGTGCCGAAAATAGCTCAACTCTCGACGCACAACGCACGTTTTCCTCGATGCGAAGCTGACTTAGAAAATTCAAATATAGTTTTAGCTTCACATTTCTAAAATCTACCTCCCTCAATCGTCATATTCACCATGTGAAAATGAAAATATAGAACTGATTTCTAAAAAAATGGGGCGTGTGTTTCACTGCAAACATCTATACACATTTTTTTACTCTTTTTGAAGTTGTGTAGACGTTTTGAATGTGAATGTGAATGTTTGTGGTGATGATGGTGAGTTGTGAGTCGTTAAGCAAGCTGCGCGTGCGCACAAGACGCCGTTCTAAGAATATGTTGTTTATCCAGCGTGCACGTCGCACGTCCGGTGGCGCGCACATTTTTCCATCTCTTTATGCCCGCGTGTGCTACATTTAAACGCGCGCGCACATGCGGCATTGGAGCTAACGTATGGTCGTCGTTTCCGAACGCTTTTCC